AACGTTTCCAACTGGTTCTCCTCATTATTAATAAATAATGATTACTGTTATCAGTACTGATGTATTCGTTCTCTCACTCTGAACGCGGTATAAACCCGATTATGAGATAGGCATCTTTTTGGCACAAAGATTCATATCACTTGAAAGTTTTTTGAATGTAAACAACTACACTGTGCACATTTGAATGGAAATTTCCAAAACGGACCGACCGACTTGTTGTGATTCAGAGGTAGGCTCGAAAGGTCGCGAGCCGGATGGTGTTGAGATATTTGACTGACGTTGGTTATCTCGTCGAATTTTTCTAACTATAACGCTTGAACTGGGACTCACAGTATACGCATATATTCACAGAAAGCAGCCCCTCAGCTTCTCCAGCCGCAGAAATCAACAACAAGTTTTTTGAGTTGCTCAGAAGTAGGTTAACTATGCTTTGCATTCTGCGACTGAACTCCTTTTCCCGCATCTTCATATTCATAATAAGGCGTTGCTGGGATACGTGATACGGTGGTACTCGAATGGCGCTCCGCTCTTTTGATGTTTCGCGCCTTTTCATGTGTCCATAAACTTAGAGAGTTTCGTACCATCGAATCATGCACAATAAGCGCTCGAATTTACAAAACCTTGCTCCAAATATTAAAATCGGCCTTTGGAGAGAGTACACTGCCGAGGAGGCGCCTCGGCACCGGTAGGCCTGTAATCTCATCCCAAGGTAATTTATACAAGCCGATCTGTGGACATGTTTGTCTACCTCCGTCGATGGTGCTCGTGAAAAATCGCAATTTAAATAGTGGATGGTTTCCAGTTATGTCTAATGTCTGCGTAACGCTTATGGCATCTGCTTGCAAAAGTGCACATGAATTTGCTCCTTGTATTCATTCTGTAGGAGTCGACGTATTCATGAAATTTCTTGCCCGATAAAAGCATGTACTTTGGCCTTAAAAGTCTGCGACTCGAGAGCTCCTCAGGCGTGGCATTCTGTGCAACCGTTTATCAAGGCGACGTTTGAAGCGCGCAGTTTTCTCCTTATCTACTGCGACGTCATAAGACCTCGTTAGAAAGAGTAGGAGATACACGGTCTGGCTTTTGTAAAAGTACACAGTATGTGGTATGGCCCCTTAAACCTAACGCAAAACGACAGTTTGTGTATAACGTGGCACAGAAATTCGTTAATATTTCTGAAGTAAGCAGTCACTGTTTGTAAGACAGAATGCGGTCTGTGATAAGAACATCACTGAAAACGATAAAGCCCAAAGGGAATCTTTTTTTCAGAACAAGCTTGGTGGATATTCTTTCAGGGATTCCATTTTTGTAGGTGTTTAAACCTTCAACTTTCGATGCAGAGGTAGCCCTAAACACATAATTAGTAAAAAGGTCAGTTTTCTTAAAGTCAGACATTTTCGTTGACCATTTCGGTTTTCACGGCCTTAAGGCTTTTGGGCCTTTTTCGCCCGCAGGATGAGTGTGAACGAATTATGTTTTGTTGGTATAGATAGGCGGTCAGTGGCACGTTTGCATTCATGATCTCTTAGATCAAGTCGCAATGTTTGGAATTTCTTCAGAAAAGACATTTGCCAACTTAGGTCCTCGACCATCGATCCCAGGAAAGTTAACGCTTTACTGTGTTCTGTCAAAGGGCGGGGGGACACGTCTCATTCTAAATGGCTATGAGCCAATAGCTGAACTAGAAGGCCGTACAGGCACTCTGAAGATAATCGTAGATTCGCCTCTCTCTTCGAACCAGCATAATGCAGCATAAAGGTCTCCTGTTACGCGCTAACATCTCAGCTGTCTTCTACAAAGTCCGTTATCGAGATGGCTGCTGCATATTCGTCGTGGCAGCCGGGGGCAGTTCAAGCATTCTGCAGGATGACCACGCCTAGAGTAATCGGGGTGTCAGTGAGGTCAGCAGAAGGGATGACGAGGTAGAGCCTGATAGTCATCTCATCCCACTGGGAGACCAGTGAGCCCTTGGGCTAAACGGCCACCCGCTGATCAAAGTCGCACGTACCCACATGATGACTATCACATGCACTCAACATTCGGTCATCGTTAATTAAGTGCACATCTGACGAGCTGAAAATCTAAGAAAACCATTTGAAGTCGAGGTGAGATTTTCTGAGAATTATTTTATTTCCGGCAGTTATGAGATGGAAAATTAGAAGAGGCTGTTTACAGAAGGCAACTGCTTTTCTTTCAGACTTCGAGCTCAAGATAAGTTGCACAGTATGGCAGACAAACAAGTGCTCGCATTATTTCTATTTCTGCTATCGTGCCACCAGGTTACTATTTGTTTGGGAGTCTGCAATGCATTCTATATAGAGATTTACAAATCAGTCACACGTTTCCGATCGATATATATGCATATATACATCAAGTAAATAATATCGGAAATTTTATAATGCAAGACATGATGTTAAGTCTCGGGGACATTAATTTTTAGGGTCAGGGCGAAATTTCTATAAACATTTAAGTCGAAGACAATCATCAACTTTCGAATAACTATGTACTGCCTATTCTACAAACGAATGGCACTACAAGTAGTATGAAACCCATGTAATGAAGGTGCTATACGATACTCCAGACATAGGGTCTAACCCTAAAGAGGCATGTCCCGGAGACTTAATTCCATATCCTGTATTGAATCACTTCTGAAATTATCCACTTGATTATTTTCCGGAGTTCATATACCAGAAACCTTATAGGGAACGCGGGGGGCCTATTGAGGAGCCGAACTGCTCGCAGATGTTACCCAGCCGCACTTTTGCCGCGTGTTCGGCTATTTGCGTTCAGAGTAATGTTGCTCGGAGAAATGACGCTAGCTCCCGAATTGCGGCCCAGTCGACGAGATCGGGCCACACGTTCAAATTCGACGGGGTCGAAATTCTAGCTAGAGGCGACAGCCGCGTGAGCCGCGAGCTGCTTGAGTCAAGGCTCACTGGCTCCCAGTATATTACCGAGTGCAACGACATTCCCCTTCCATATTCAGTGCTGAGACTTCACCTAGGCAGAGTAATTAGCCACGGCAGGATCGCACAGGCGAATACTATTCTCAACGCCAGGGTCGGTGGGTGAGATGGTCGGACAATTATCACACCAACTTTCTAGCACACGTGATGAAATTACAGCGATTAACGATGCGAATGTCGGCCATCGAACAGTCAACACATCAAGTGCAACAGTCCCCGGGGCGAAGGGGGGAGCCGTGGGTCTTCGCAAGCATGTGGTCACATGGCTACTGCATCCTACAAATACTGCAGCCCTTTGCGCATGGACTTCCTGTATCTGCTGTCCCTTTGATGATGGGTTCGAGCAGGAATCCGTACCGTCAAGCAAATAAAGCTCTTGTTCCAGCGATCGTGTCTCCTTCTTCACAAGTACTTCTTGGGACTCGTCATTTTGCTTCTACTGTAGACAGTGTTTGCCTGCGCGCTTCATAGCCAGGCTGGGGGAATCTACATATTCTGGTACCTAGTAATCAAAATCCCGATCAATACGGTAGTTGACAGTAATCAGATTGAAGCACTGTTGGTTAATTTCTAATTTCGGCAGTGATAGGGTGTAGAACCCCCAACTACGCTCAGCTAGCCGGTGGGCCGTGTCATAAGTTTAACTGTGGTAGAGGGGGTTTTTCGGATTGGACAACACACAGGACGGAGAGCACGAATAAACAGTACACAGATAAATTTCCGCCGGATGCTTTATCGTGCGCTGTCATTTGGCAAAGGAAGTGAGCGCAATAATTAAAAGATGAGCGGAAAGCAATTTTCAAAAAAATTACAGACTTTGAATAAAGTGCCGCTGACAAGTTTACACCTGGTCAGGATGGGAAGGAAGTTTCAAGCAGTGAAAACGGTGAATAATAAGTGAAATTAACAGTCACACTGAATTTTAGAGTGTTTTTGTAGTTGCCATCTACTTGTGGGTCCTACACCCTATCATTACCCTAATTTCATCTCTTTGCCTTGTTGATTTCCACCTGCATGAGGTGAGGATTCGATGATGTTTTGGAAAGTCCTGTCTACCCCTCCTCATCAAATTCAAAGGACTGCGCCCCTGCGGTACATACCTTTTCTTCAAGGAGACAAAAACGTTTTTTCTACGGATGTACAGAACCTCAACTCTGCAACCAACAACGTACCATGGCGCCTTGTGGACAGTTACATAATGTGAAATAATTTCTTAAAACTGGACACACACAGGCGATAAGAACATTGACAAAGTTCATGAATTATGATTTCCAGTGCCACTGCAGGTGACATCTCTTTTCGGTTTGCATGCCACAACAAAGAAAAAGATATATCATGCTGAAAAAAAGAGCCACAGTCTGTAGTTCCTTTTTCATCCCCCTACTACCAGCTCTGGCCGGTCGAGATTGCCTTGACGACCGGAAACCGTGGCCGAATTACCCTCGGCCTGGTCATAGAAGAGGAACAGCTCTAAACGCACTGCGTTTAGGTCAACCTTAATGACGCAGAGCAAGCGAATTGTGCGTCTAGGGCCCGCACCGCGGCCCCATGCGCGCACGGGCGTCCGTGTGTGTGTGTGGTGCGTACGTAACCCTCTGCTTTCGCTTGTTGCTCGCATATGTGCGTGCAGATGGACACCGTACCGACAGCCAACTGGGAGTCGTCTGTGCAACCTATGTCCGCACGTGTGCGTTTACACACGCCTACCAGCAACAGCAGCAGCAGCAGCAGCAATAACACAAGGTCACGCGCATCCCGCACATGCACGCCCACATCAACTGAGGAATATTCCTGGGCACTTTTCCTGTCTTATATATTTAACAAATACAGGACCTCGCACAGTCATAAGGGTGAAAAAACTGGCCTCATGGACCTTTCTCAATCCACCAACGCAGCCGCAACCATAATGCCACCACCGGTCCACTTCTTTTCTTCTACACAGCAGACCTGATGAGACCTCGGAAATGGTCCGATCCCCCACGGCCTCTGCTTCGTTTCTTCCGCCAGAGGCTAGTCATCACCTTCCATCTCGCAATGACCTCCTTTAAGGGGCCGCCTCAGCCGAAGGTGACCATTCCTAACCTCCTCGGTACCGTCGCGAGACATCTTCACCTACCCATCCTGGGCCTTCTCATTCTTTCACTCCTGTTGACAATTACAAACGTCTCTACCTCTACCCTCCTCGTCTCCGCACATACAGATTTTTTCTACCAGTCCAGTCACCTCTTTCAACCGCCTGATCCCAGCCGACCCTGTCGACACATCTTCCGCAACGATGTGGAAGCGAGCGCCCTGCTGGCAGACTTTGTCCTTGAGGGCATACCCATTCCAACTTATCAGCCGGCGGACCAAGCTGCCGGTCTGCTTTACAACGCCAGCATTCATGTGCGCCAGGTTGCAAAACGTCCCTCCTTTTCCATTTATCCTGTGCGAAAGGACTTTCCCATTCTTGCGGGACCCTTCAGCAGACGGACTGATTTGGGTCGGTGTTGGGTTAATGTGCAGTTTGGAGCCCGGTACATATTTTTTATAGAGCGTCCCAACTGGGCTGGCTTTTTTCAGATTACTCAAATTCCTGTTCGCTTCACTGTCAAACGTTGGCAAACTGTTCAAAACATCGTGCGACGCGGAGGTGAGTTCTACTTGCAAATTTATTTGACTTTTTTCATGAACAGATGCGGATATTGAAAATTTTCCTGTAAAGGAGCAGACGGTTTAGAGATATTCCTTTTTTCTACTGACTGACGGCAAATAATTAAGAAACGAAACTATGACGTGAAAATACTTGATTGCCCCATGAATCCAAACAACTTGAAGCCTGGTAGCAGCTGAGGTTCCCGTTTGTGTCTCATAAAGAAATTTGCCGGTTCAGTTTGTGCAAATGTGGGCAGAAACCGAAGACTTAAAAATAGATTGTTCACTTCAGGTAGGGTTAAGTAAAGTGTATAACAGTTCCGGGAGCATTTCTCGCTTACCGTTATCCTCAGCCACTCAACAAAAACCAGCCCTACTTACGCCGGATTCGACTTCTGGCATCGAAATGGCTAGTACCAGGTTAATTATGTTTACAGGGAAATTGTGGAACAGTTTAGTCCATTAATTCTGACTTATCGTTAGTAAAGTTTCCAGCAATTCAAAGCTCCAAACTGCGAAGTATATAGATAAAGGGTTCCGAAATGTGGACAGCGTCCTTGCAAAACATTTACTTTTACAAAAATGTCTAAATAAATGTTGTAATATATGTGCCACATTTTCCTATTGGCAATCAAGGCAACCCCGAAGATGTTACGTCAGTTATTTGTTTCTCAGAAATGCCTAAGATTACTTACTGTCATTCTATCCCATTCCTATGTGGTCCGTTTCGTTCAGAAAAAAGTGGGAGACACTAATTACAGTTTTGATTTATTTGTATGGGTGAAAAAAGCCCATAAACTGATATTTTTTCAGGATAAGACCTTCTCAAATAATGACACAATGTTGTGCTGGAAAATCAAAATATATTTTTGCACTTATTTTAATGATAGAAGTCAATCATTCTCATGTGGAAAAGTCTTCTATCCGTGCAGCCTTTGCTGACATTACTGACTGTTCTTTTTATATAACATATTGCTTAAGTTAATTTGCAGATCCTATTCCGATGATTGTTGATAGCCGTTCCCCTAAAGGAAGGATGAAGTCCAATATTTTGCGCATAGTATAGAGTGGACTCGATTTTTTACACAATGTTCGAAGGTAATATTTAAATTCTAAAAATCCTAGACGTGCAATCGTTCGGCTGGAGCAATATGGGGTCAGCGAACCATAGGTTAGAATTCAAACAACAGCGAACGTTTCCAAACCTTTGGCAGAACCTTTGTGACACTTTGCATTTCCAAAAAGGGTAAAATATTAAATTAATACGCACCTCTGTTAGGTCGTCTGACTTGATTCGTAAGATCGACGACAGTTAATGGTGAAAATGGGAAACCACTTTTGTAGGAGGCTGTTCTCTTTTTGATCAGCAAAAATGATTTGAAAGTTTCTTAGCTAAAAGACAATAGGTTAAAAAGTAGGAATTATACTGATGTTACATTCCCTTCTAATCAGAAGTCCAGTAGATGTGCTAACGCATGAAATGTCAACAAAAATTTCGAAATGCGTTCTCGTTTCGAAAAGATAAATTAAGTTGTGTTGTAAAACTAATCATGATGTAGCATAAATCTATAATGATCCAGGTACCTCAGGGTGTCGGCTTTCGAAAGAACTTATTTTCGGCTGCATGCAAGATCTATACTCTGCAAAAAATGACCTCTTACTTAGTATGCAATTTTCTCATTGATTTTCGATGTCCTTGAAAATTCAACTATATTTCAGGAAAAACATGCATAAAAATATTCATTCTTATACTCATTCGGTAGAAAATCACGTATTCTTCCAATATCATTCCCAAAAATGAGTGTAATTTGGTTTTAAAAACTTTTCTAATTCCCGAACAATTTTGTACCCGACCTGCTGTTACACTTGCATTCAGGGTTTCAAACCTACAAGCTGTATATTTTCCATGTACGGAAAACCATGCAATTCTCTACGGTGTTAAGAGGAGACTATATGAGGTTCATAAAATTAAGCAGTGGATTTGAGCAATATTGTTAACTTTACAAGCCACATTCGTAAATGCAGATACATGACGTTTCATGAACGGCCATTTAACGGTATTAAAAAATCTCAGAATTAGAAACTTTTTAAAACCGAATAATACTCTTCTTTTGAGTATAAAATTGGAAGAAGACGTGGCTTTCTGCCGAATAAATAAAAGAATGAATATTTTTACGCACGTTTTCCATGAAATATTATTGAATTTTCAAGGGCATTGAAAATCAATGAAATTGCATACTACGTAAGAGGTCATTTTTTGCAGCCGAAAATAAGTTCTTTCGAAAGCCGATACCCTGAGGTAACTGGATCATTATAGATTTATGCCGCATCATGATTAGTTTTACAACACTACTTTATTTATCTTTTCGAAACGTGAACGCATTTCGAAATTTTGGTTGACATTTCATGAGTTAGCACATGTACTGTATAATCGCATTAAAGTCGTTTTCTGCATGAAAACACGTTCTTTACCGGCTGTCAATATTAACAGAATTTTTTTCTAAGAGACCTTAAGATTCCCGTTAAATTAATTTTGATTTTGGGCAATTATTTTCCATTTTAAGTCATATGCACCAACTGGCTGTCTAAGCCTACCAATCTATGAAATCGGTCTATTTAGAAGGAATTAATATGCCTTCCTACTTATAACAACATCCTTTGGACTACAGACCATTCATCAATGTAGCACAACATAATCAAACGAGGCACAATCGCAGCTAGCCAGTTTCAAAGACTTTTGGTAGTGTATGGAACTCCTTATCGAAAAAAATGTCTGTAGATGTTTCCAACAGATAGATATTTGGGGATTTCTGCAGAAGAAAAGGTTTACTTATGAATTGCACAAGAATAATCCTGCCTTTTGTTTCTTTGGTGGAAAATAAAATCATTTTGTTATGCCAAAACCTTCTTACATTTCCGGCACTTCTTAGGCAAGCACTTCCCCTAAAAAGCAGTAACAACAGCAAAACTTATATAAGAATCCAAAGTCTTGTATCTCGAAATAGGAGTCTGTGTGCCATGATGCCTCCCCAGAAAATAAGGTATGAGATTTCCTATGCTTAACAGTGACCCAGATCTTTACCGACTCAGCTTCTCCCTGTGCCTATTGATCGCCGTTCTTCTAGTCACTAAAATGCCCAATTTCTGTATTTGTCTGCGTGCATATTCTATTTTCAGAGAAGTAGATAAACTGACATCAAATTAGTAGGATTGAGCCCAATGGCAAATTAACATAGGTTTTATAAACCCAGCAACAGCGTGCATAATTTTACGGAGCCGTCTTCTTTGAAATTACAGAAACATCACTGAAGATATAGGGCGGTTGTTACCTGGCAAAACCGGTCGCCATGTACCATGCCGGTAATTAGATACTTCTAGGCCCACATTTCCCATGAACTGTGTTTAGACCGCGAAAGTCAAAGAAAGATGTGGGCTCTAATTGCACAATGCGCTTTTTGGAATTCTGCTCCAGGGGTGGTCTGGGCAGTGCGCGGTGAAAAAAACTCAGCCCTAACCAATTTAATTTTTTGGACAAGTTTGAAAACTTAATAGTTATGGAAAGGTATCTCATTCCCAGGGGCAACATCGATGCCATGAAGTTGCACTTAAACTGAAAAGACTTTCAAGTCACTTGTCGGGGTCTTTTAATCCAAACAAATGCAGCGCATTTTATGTGGTATTCTGTTCTTTAAATAGATAGAGACGCTAGGCTGCACAAAACACTGGGGTCGGCAGGATTAAGTGGGCGAACAGATGTCAAGAGTTAACCTCTTTTCCGACACATTAGCTGTCCAACTGATAAAGCCTGCATATAATTTCTCCACTTTTGCCCATTTTCCATCAATATACTAAGTATTTTATTTGAGGTAATTAATTTGTGCCTCATACAAGGCTGTGTAGAAAGCGGAAATGTGCAGCCTTCTCTGGACCGGAATACTGTAATTCTATTTTAATTTCATAATTTAAAATATGCATATGCAAAAAAATAACATATGTCGGCATTTGCCCGGCACCTCGAAACAGTCGGCCGCTGTCACCGAACAGTCGCTGACTCTCAGTAAAAGAACGCGAACGTGGGAAATATTTTGATGTGAAAAATAGTTATGTTTTGTGGAAAAAATCCACGCAACATTATGCTGGAGGAAAAAATTCGATCTCAGTGTGGGTATTCTACATGCGTACAAGATGAAACGAACAAAACAACATTGTAGTTGGCTTAAGAAATATTCCGTAATTTCGACTGGTTCATGTAAGTTGTTTGACTTGCATAAAGTGAGTCTCTTTGGAGTAGATCTCCGAATGTTATTTCGCCTTGGATCATCGAAATCATATGTATATTTCTCCCAATCATGTAGACAGTATCTACAACTAACAAAAAGTAAATGTTCTCACAGTGACAGTGGAAGCCGTCGAATGCAGAAGCGTCCGTTCTAGAATCAGTTAAAGTCTTTCTTCGTTAGTATCGTGCACTGATTCGGCGTTACTCTATAACCATGCCTAAATTAATGAAAAACTGTCCAAAAATTAAAAACTATTCAGAACGTCAAGTTAATAACAGATGACCGTAAGCTGAACAAAAACAAACGATGTCAGGAGTAATAATAGGTTGATTGGAAACAGCAGTTATCATTAGTAAAACCGAAATGCTGAATATTTGAAAGCTTGCGCCTGCCCATGCAAATAACTGGGTTGCTAGGAACAGCACAAACACATCCATTTTTAAAATAACTTAACTTTACTGGAGGTATCCTTTTTATGCAATGGTCACTTAAACTATTAGCCAACGAAATAGGTTGAGGAACCTTACATCTCCCCGTGATCCTAGGTGGAGTTATTCGCAAATGATGGCTTAAATATATTTGAGGGTTTACCAAAAGGCATATTCATATCACAGCAGGAAACGAACGCTGACGAGGAGAGTCTGCAGTCGGTTTATTCTTCGCAAACGAAGACCATTCTCTAAAGCGAGCAAGGGTGTTTGGCTAGTCATTTCTCCTAAGCGCATTTTAACCTTTCATCAAAGCTTTTATCTGCCCAACGATAACTTACGTGGACCTTGTTCTACTACTTGAACAGACATGATTATTTTATGGCAGCTTATTGAGAAGAAACTTGTTATTATAGTGCAGTCACTTTTTATGAATCTCGAGTACGCCGGCTTGCCTATTTTGTTCTCCAGTCTACACGGTGTTCTGAGCGTTTTGGCCAGTAAAAACTAGTTAGGGTTTCTATCTCAATACCACCGCAATCAGTGGACATAAAGTCTGCCACCCAACTTCCTCCCTGTGTCTCTTGCCCCGAAGGCAGACGTGAGGATGAGGATAAATTTGATTTCTCTGACCGATCGGCGGTAATGATGGCGCGTGTTTCGAAACTCCCTAGAGGGTCGGGGGTTTCTTTGGAATTCAGCGAATAATGCTCTGGACTCTGTATCGCCGAATGATTGACTGACCTTACGATCGGAGACCTGTCTTCTTTGATGAGCTACTCGTAGGTCACGAGGTTTTTAGTTTTGTATGGGTACGCCCTTGTAACATCCATGAGTGGAGCAAAAGAGTCGCTAATCACGCTCGCGATGACCCCTCTCAAGGTGGATGCACGGACAAATGCGTCCCCTTGACTTTAATCCAGAGCGTACTTACTGTCCCCAGTAATTTTTACAGAATTATGCGCAATTCCTTATGGAATTTAAAATTAAATGAACGTTTGCTAAAATCCTGTGTCCAATTTCTAAATTTGATGCTTTTTGCGAGTTGAGCCAACGTGACCTTTCCCAAACCAACTTTCTAGTGAACAGATGGTCAAAAACTGAGAAAAAAAAGAGAGAAAAAATGGTAAAAGGTTAAATCGTTAGATTGATAAATGAATTATGGGTCACCACTTTTGAGGGACAAAAGTGATGAGCAACGATTGGTCTTCTGTTGCGCTGAATATTTGAACTTTTGCAGAATACCTGGGAAGCGAGATATGCTAAGGAAAATAAAATATCTTAAAATGCTGAAGATAGAGAGTTGACAGCCAAGCTATATATAGATTCCGATTCACAATTTGCCACCTCAGTTCTCCCCCTGTCATTGTCAGTAGGATTTTTAAAAAAGTGTCAAGACTTCTTTTGCTGTCGCCTCACATTCTTACCATACCCTTCTGACTGATGAGCTTGCTTCTTTAACGTGATGACTACGGACAGTGATTTTAATGGGTCAATTGCGTTTGTCTTGGTGAACCGGAAAATATGAAATAGCGGCAAGATTTGTGCGGACAGGTAGCAGAATCCTCCACAGGTGAACTTTTAGAGTATTCTAGAAATATAAATAAATGAAGTTCATTTTGCAGAATTCGCCATATTACTCACACGTTTTGCCTAAACCTCCACTGTGCAGTTTTAACCAAAATTTCACTTGCTCTGAGTATTTCGTGCAATTTACCTTTCTATGATAAGGAGTGTGATTGTCCTTTAATTGCTTTTCGGGACTTTTTAAGCATTGACTTGAACCACCGCAAGTAAAATTCAGAAATATTAAACAGAATAAGGGAAACACGAGAGGGCACTTTTGTAAAACTTTAAATATCGTCCTCTTATTAACCGTATCCCGTACTTATATAATTTGTTCCTTAAGGTGTAGATATCGCTAAAGGTCAAAGTAATCGGAGATGCTGTGATAAGATCAGATGTATAAATTTGCTTCAAATATGTATCCTGTAGACGTCATGAAAGGCAGTTTCAGACGAGTAAACATAAACTTCTCTGCTGGCCCAATCTGCTTTTCCCTCTTCCGTCGACTGAGATGACAAATTAGTTTCTATCCGTCACTTCCAAGAAAAATGCCAACCAGCACATTTGCGACATGCTCACCTACGCAAAGCACTGCACCTGTCTTGCATTTTATCCAAATGCAAAATGTAAACACCTTTATCCTAGTTTACCTTCACATGCTGCAACTTTTTAGTTTGCCTCGGATTAAGTAAAGAAATGAATGCAGGTTCCAATAAATATTGTTTAGAAAAAGGGAAAGTTGCCATCTCTCTTCGACTAAATGCCGCTCCCTTGTCAGATCTGCTACTTACTGCGTTGCTGCAGCGACTGTCTTTCGGTAGGAAGTGACTAACACTTGACGCCCAGTGCCCGGTTAAAGCAGTCTGATATGGTTCGTTGGATCAACAAACTACTCACATTTAGACATCTTGACCACCAATTTCAGGATAACTAGCGCAAGTTTTCTGTCCTCTACGTTGACCTCGTTATCCAACTGCTACAAACATTGTTGTGCAGATAGTGGGGAAAGAAGCGTACAGTTTATCTATCCGCGCGCTTCCAAATCAGAACCAGATAGCAATCTCACAGGTTTGTAGTAAATGTTAACGCTTGAAGTCGGATCCAGACTTGCGTTTGGAAAGGAACAGACGCAAGCTGCTGCTCAGATAAGTGTACGTGTGAAGCTTACGCCGCGTTGGCCGAGGGTGCCGCATGTCCGTGTCTTCCAAGGCACAGACTGAATGGCTGATCAGACACTGCATGGATCACATATCAGGCCGACTTGACTAAGAAGTACCTCCGGCGAGCATATTTGGGGAGAGGATGAGAGTTTTGGCATCTTTTCTACCTACAATCCAACTGACACACGTTTTGACTATTAGAGATCCCCACTAATGGCGTCCTGGAAGTTTGTCGAATGATAGATAATTATGAACCGGCTACTCCTGAATTTAAATTTGTGACTCATTCAAAGCGAAGGAATCTGAAGTTGGCGACGTCAGTTTACATGGAAATTCAACATGCGTAAGACCTGGGATTACCAGAGTGGAATTCGTGGTCAGCTTTGAGGACCTAGTCCATGTTCAGCCAAGCACAGGTCGGTATTGTTCAAACGAGAGAGGAAGGTGGACATGGCGATTTTGCTGTACCGAACGATGAGGTTAATTACTACCGTTGAGGTGGGTGAAGTTCTGACTTGCGCGTGAGTTTTATATAGTGCTCATAGTGACGCAGATTTTCGATAAACCTATCTCGCCCCCTCTTCTCACAGCCGGCATCTCCGATGATAAATAAAAATACAGGCGACTGGGGGGAGGGGAGTGTGCGTAGTGGCTGGCATAACTGAGGAGCCAGTCCCCGCGCATCACACATTACGTGGTCCCTAACACCCCATCTGCCGGGCCCACGCATGTAGGCCATGACAGAAAGCAGTTATTACCGCCTAAGCCTCGTTCCAAAGAAGGACCAAGTTATCCCCGTGCTTGACGACATCCCAAACCACGTCAGCCAGCGCAGTGTGTTAGGTTCAACGCGTGTTCGTTTGTTAACATTAAGGCATTAAGTGCTAGATTTGCCCGCGAGCTGTCCCATTTCTTCTTTAACTCATACGCCAGTAATTTTTCTAGTCAATTCGGTTGAGAATTAGACTGGGTGTAGTGGCTGAAAAGACGCGGACCTTTCAGCACAATAATCCGTCTGACGCACTGTTAGCCAATCTGCGGGTCCTTAAAGGCAGCAGAAAGGGAGGTTTACTTCTGGCGGGATGCTGTAAATCTCGTAAGAGATGGCCAGATTGCAATGACCTACTGTTAAAGTCCTTTTATCGTTCAATGCAAACGAAGTCTAACGCGTTTAGCGGAAAAAGATGCTGAATTCTGCGACAACAGCTGTTTCAAGCTTCCTTGATGCCCTTTTTGACCTAGATGAGATCTGAGGTCCATCTTCTAGGGGTGCCGCGCCATTAGGCTCTCTTTATCAGGAGTAGCTTGAAGACTCCTAACAGCCGAGTGGACACACACTGATCTACCTGAAACCGTAACCCGATAACTGAGTGGGCCAATATCAAACGCTTAGACCGAAAAGCCCAGACTTGACGGAGCCAACATTCATGAGAAAGATTATGCTTCTGCAATCCGTAGAGCGATCTATTCGCAGGGCATACTAGAAGAAAAGTCCCGGATGGTCAACTGGTAGGGCAGGAGAATAGGAAACCCCCCCCCCCCCGTAATACAGGTGACCTTGAGCTAAATTCCAGGGAGATCACGGTTGGAGTTAGGACGCGGGAAAAGTCGGTCAGATGTGGTTGTGTATTCGCACCTGAGGTGAACAAACCCCGGTCGCCTGTAATACGGCACGTGTGGTAATAGGGGTCTCTACAGGTGGGGTCGGGGAGCGCACAGGTGACGAGGTCAAGTAGTTGTATACAAAAGAATATCTATTGGGAATGTGTGGTTGTACTTTGAGTGGTTGAAAAATAGTTGCTCTACCCCCTGACTCTAATCCCTAACCCTAATCTCTAACCCTAACCCCTAACAGTATTGTGTCCATCACGAACGGCTACATAGCCGCATCTTTCCAGACAACCTTTCCAAATAATTTAGTGGAGGGTGAGGAAATAAAGAGACCGATGGCACCACCCTCGTTCAGTAAATAGATAAATAGGTTTGTGTGCAAGCCCGCGATGCTTGCGAAAGATGCCGTGGACCCGCCAACCTCGATGACATCCTCCCTGCTGATAACCGCCTCGTAAGCCTCTGGCAGCCGCTATAATTTGCGCCTATTATCAAGCCGCAATTAGCCCTAAAGTCTGCCCGGTTTTCGCAAAATGGCACGAAAATCAAAAGTCCATTTGCAAAACCCACTTTTGCCAGGAAAGAGTTATGCCAGTCAGAGCTATTAGGTTTGCTGTCAGCAGATGGTTTGATAGTAGAATTGCCACATGGCTTCAATGTCAGGCATAATTGCAGTAAGTGCGGCTCGAAATCGCTTGGACTGTGGCCTATTGGAAGTCAGAGGCGGTTTAGAGTAAACTCTCTACTACTCACGCAGGTTTTCTCAGTTTCGAAAAACCATGTGGGGAAGGGCGCAGGGGAGGGTAGAGTAAATTTAAGTGTACTTCACTATTGGGGGCCTTATGCTGAATGCAAGAGAAAAATACTGTGTTAGACTGGGAGAGCAGAAAACAGACAGTTTGATTTTTGAACTCCGCGTGCTCTGATTGCAAGGTACGGCTTTAAGAAACCGGTCAGTTGGCATGCACTGCGTACCATTTACTTTAAGGAAAGTGAGTTGTTGTTCCATAACAATGGTTAAACTATCAAAACCTTCATAAATATACGCGTTTTTCTAAATAATTTTGAACTTAATTCACAAATTATGCGCTGCTTAGGGAGAGAAACTACAGTTTTATATTGTAGAGCGTAAAAGCATTGAGTTACCTCTTCATCCTGTCGAATGAGGCTCACATTGAAGCAGGGCACCGCGATCCAATATCGTTGCAGGGCTGAACTTCAACCACCAACTGAACCCTGTCGAGAGCCACCGTAGACGGTCACATACGACGAGCAGTTTCTCAAATAGCGCGCTAAGGATAATGGTTTATTAAATCCGTCCCCTATGATAGGTCAGTGATACAAATGGTGGATTTTCGGAAAGCATTAACTCTTGTTTATGTGATTTTATACAACTGATTGTGGGTCCAGCTTTCGTTTTAAAAAGAAATACCATTTTCATTTGACGAGTTCCTGCTCAAACAACGAATTTTGAGTGAAAACACAGGAATACATATACTGCTTGTGGAAAAAGGCAAGGTTAAGGTGAAAATACAGGCAGCAGGCACGTTCACCGGAATGGTTATACGTATATTCCGACGTGTATTCGACTACCTCTCCTCAGGGGCGTGGCAATCTTGTGCAAAACTCTCATTATGTGGCATACGGTTTGCATACGCGTTGGCGCCGTAGTGCATAGGCTACCAACGCCGACAATATTTAGGAGAGGGGCCCCCTTCTGCCTTGGCCTACTCGTCGTCAGTCTCTGTGACCCAGATAAGGTTGGCGGCGGCGACCGTCTTTCGCCTTCACTGACGCTTGTTAGGTAGATTCGCAATGCATGGTAGAACGCAGGTGAGGCCGTGGAGCCGACGTTGGGCATTCAGGCTTCCTACGTCAGCCTTGATATGTGATAGTCACCTTAGTCACAATTAGAACGTCTTCAAAGTGGAAAATGTGTTTCGACCTCGTTGCATGGTTTGCCACTTTTGATATGGGTCTGACCTCTGAGCGACCAACTGATATTTGTACATTCTTCTTTGCAGCTTATCTGACGTAGGTGCATTAAAGTCGATAGACAAGAACGGATTCCTCTTTGTTGTGGATGGGATATGCCGGCTACATCAAGTGCTGGCGGATTTTTGACTCAGACTCGTAGACGACTCCTATTTCAGGTGGCTCGGCAGGTCAACTACGACATCGGAGAGCCCATTCATGAGGTCTGAACGGTTTGGACTCTTCCTTCCGACTCTTTCGAGGCATCTGACAAATGCCTTTGGATACCTGCTGTCTCCGACAATAAGTCAAAGCTTAGGCGGGTATTCACTGCGTTATAATTCGTCTAGGAGATATAAATAAGGCACGCGTCGCTTTATTGTAAGGTAATCAAACGAAAAAAGGACTGGAAGGTTTATTTTGGGTTCATTCCGTTTCCAGCAATCAGTCCTACCCCAATTTCAGAGGGCATATGAGAAAGCGACGATGACAATATGATGACGATGGTGGTGGTGGTGTTGACGGCGGCGGTGGTGGTGGTGGTGGTGGTGGTGGTGGTGAGCGTGATTCCGGTCTCTCTTATGGTTTTTGCTAGTGATTTTCGATTGTTGATTGTTCCCCTCTATACTTCCACCCGTGTGCAGACTGTTTCTGGGACTTTAAATTAAAACGAATGTGTGTATTTTCCCCTGCGGCCTAGACACATTCGGGAAGAATACTCTCGTGTTAAACTAAATACACTGGTTTATCTGTACTTTGACCAGCCTATTTATTAATTGTATTTCGAAGAAAGTTCTCTGATAACGACAGTGAACGAAATTCGATGGAACACATTTCGCATAAAGTGGCTTAACGCCGACTGACCTCTTCAGGGGAGCCATGGTATCACTCGAGATTTACAGAACCAGCCCCATTTTGGTTCTATTTTGATCCCGTAAGCAACTAGCTGTCAACAGTCCTTCACTTTCTGCCACCAAATTACAAACGTTATTGCTAAAAGTAGAGATTTCTTACTGACTACAGTAAATGATGACGTTCAAAACTAAACTGACCAATGGCATTCTAATTTCAAACTCGGGAATTCTCGTTTGTTAAGTCATTCTTGCACAGTATAATAAGCATCCTTTCAAGTGTATCCATTGTACCCTATTATGTCCCACTGATTTATAGCCTGAAATGGAGTTCTCAGTCCCGTAGCGACAAAACAGAGCTACCGTGTCTTAATCCACGACACTCAGTAAAAACCACCTTCACGCAGAATGCTGTTTGCACCTGAAAAAGGCTATGACAACGACGAAATGTGCAACATTGTTTTCACAGGACGGCGGTAAATATGAATTCGTACATCAGTTTATACGAAGCAGCTCCAAGTCACTTTTCTACTTACTATTTTACCGCTGTAAAGAAACTAGACACCGCTTATTTGGGTCTTCAGACCGTTCAAACTATATGAGGAATCATATTATAAAGGAACCATCACATCCTAACATTCAGTCCTGAAAACCACGTGAGCTTGGCAACTGTCGCAAAGTTCTGAACGGGTCAACTAAAAGACCTCGACGGTTGCGACATGAATGGGCAAGGTCTTTGCAGCATTGTTTTTCCGCCTTTTTCCTGCCTCAATCACGGGGAGTCAGTGTCAAATTGACGGAGAACGGGTTTAGCTCCCTGCACTAGTGATACAAGGCTTCACGGGGAGGGGGGCTGGTTTTAAAAGGGATCATTATTTAAGGGCTGGGGCCCAAGGCCAACGTAGTTGGGACCAGCGTTCATGCATTTTCATGGATCTCTTCAGACAAAAAATGTCTTATTGGGCGGCTTTTGCTTAAAATGAAAATAAGTAAGTCTCCAGCACATTTCCGTTATGCTAGAACGCTTTTTAGGAAGCAACGGAGAGGATATTATACACCAGAGAAGATACGTTCCTATAGCGACTCGAGTATGGAAAGCCATCTGGCGTTGACGGAAAACGCATGTTTTGTAAAAGTTGAGGGTTCGAGTTTTTGAATTATCGGACCGATTCTCCGGTCCAACCTCAGGGATATTAAGACATTAACAAAAGCAAAATGTTACTATTGTAAATTAGTTAACATCCACGGTATGTTGTCATTGCGGCTGGCAGTCATCAATCCTGTGGATGAGGTACTGGATATGTTGGCGCAAGTGTGTCAAGAGTTGCTCGATTACTTTGTGCTCGGTATCCTCTATCTTTTTCCCCTTCGTTTGAAGTGAAGTAAATGTGTCACATCTAAAATCGTAACATACGCTCCTCTGTTTTCATATCAGTGAGAGAGTTTAAATCCTTAAAATATTTGCATATTTTTTTATTACGTCATTGCATACAGTGTTTTTTGCCTCTCTGAAAAAAAGATGTGCACTCTGGCACACAGGAGATTTGGCAACATTTTCCTTTATGCAAATAATTCGCTAAAAACCGCTGTGCCTGCAGAGTTACCTTAGCTTCTACAGCGATTTGCCCTTTTGTGCGATCAGACATTAGTATATTTGCCTACATCTGGACCACCTAGTGCAACGTTATCGAAAATAGTCGCTTTGCAAATGTCTCGAAAATGCCATCCTGCGGGCTACCTTCGTCCCACTTACCACAATAAAAAATGAACTTGACGCCGTGCAACCGCCTCTGCATATCTAAGATTGGATAAGTCATGGTTTTGAAGAAAAACAATTCTCCACAAATTAAGCACGATGAATGAAGACTTTTAACATGTTTCCAGGAAAAGTGAGTAAATAGTTAGTTAGAGGAATAATGGCCTCGTTAGTTATGCAAAAAACGCTTCATTTTCGTCTAGCCAATTTTTTGATAATCCTAGCAAATGTGAAAAGTTTAATTTTATTGACAACTAGTATAAGCAGATGCCTAATATTCCTGTCTCAAAACGAATTTAAGAAGCTCTAACAAAATGAACATCAAAAAGGCTTGCTTGACGGCACCGAAGGTTGTCTTCCGGAATAATAAGAGCCATGTACTGTCGGTGATGGATGCTTTTATTTAGTGCATAGGCAAGCTTGCCACCTTAAAAACCTCAGTTGAGAAAAAAGTATGTTTGTTTGAAATTGGATTAGTGGGGGTTCTCATAAAACATAATTGTGTATTCATTTTAACAGGGGATATTTAAAATATTTGGTTCCATTAAAATGATTCAAATCCTTTGTATCATAGACCCACCACCTTCAGGTGCTTACCTAGACTAAAACAACTTAACACGCATCTACGCACCAACTGAGGGACTCTCTTGTGTATATTTTTATTAAAAGACTTCTCATTTAACTCTCACTAATGGGCTGTTAAAACAGTTTTGCGAGTGCATGCAGCTTACGAATGCCTTAGAACATCAATTTTGGTCTGACGGCAAATCTGGCGGTTTCTTTTAGTGTGCAAGTTTTGCCCTCAGTCGCCCTTTTGTGGCTTCACGGCCAGAGGTCTTTGTATACTGAAGAAAATTTGCATAAATTGCAATAACGAATGACTGTAGAAGTAGTGAGAAAATTTAGTCTGGATATTCAAAATCCCCGGTACTTAAAAAGTGCAAAAATTAACTAAACTTGTTTTCACACGATATCTTTATGCGGATGAAAATTTAAAAAGTTTAAATTTTGCCAGATGTTTCGTATTAAAGTTAAAATGTGTCCCCCGTAAGCTTGGGTATGAAGTTTTGTTTTTCATTGAACGGGAACTCCAAAATATTTATATCTATAGGGTTCATTTCTCACCTTTTCATTGCGAGACTTAAATCAAGTCCGAGGAGATCAGGTTTCGGTTCCGTCTACAACGACTTTGAGCGTCATTTTATAGGCAAAACTCACGGCCTTGACTCTTGACCTACTTCACGTACAAGTTGTATTGTGCAAGTTGGTCTAATTTAAATGGCGTTCAAAACAGAACTACAGAAGTTACAAATATCTTAAACGGAAGATATTGCGAATACATTATCTCATATTAATCTGAACGCTGGGTTTTTCTCGCTCTCCGCTAGGCATCTGCGACTAGTTACCCAAAGGAAAATTCATCTGCCGACATTTTTCACTATTTTTGAATGTTTCAGCTAACATAATAATTGATTCAGGCAAACTCAGCAAACTGGCTTTCGTCCTAATGTCCATCTTAGGATTCACGCCTTGATCAGTTAATCTTCTATATGGAAGGACATCCACATATCAGGTTATGGTAAATGCTTGTCCCATTACGCCTTTGAGTCCAATATAATACCCTCGCAGGCAGCGTATTTACAGTGATGTGTTTGTAAATGACGAAAACATGCAAGTACACACTATAGAAGGTCACATAGGGCGATTTTCGAAGGTATACAGTCTGCAGAAAAAAACAAAAATGTTTTCCAACTCATGTGTACGCCAATTTAAAAAGGAATGGTAAATACTGATCAGCTTAAAATCGCACTTGCATGCCAAATTGCGAGAATAAGTCCCGCGGTATGGCGACACCACCTCACTAAGACTATCCAGTTAAAATCTCGTTACAAACTTCGAGACGGTTAACGGGATTATTATCATGTACTGAAGATGTTTAATTGGTATTTCTAATGATACTACTACGTTTACTGTAGCGGATCTCGCAGGTCCTATCCGTGAAAAATATACGCATAGCAAGCCAAAATATTATATCCATCGGTTTCGAAATAAACAATACTGATAGGCTAAGTTGCAATAAAATTACTGAAGGGTATTGTTTGCAAATACACTCAGCTGAACATGGAGAGTATACGTCGAGTAATAAGACTGCGCATTAGCACGGCTGGATTTTTGCACGCACCCGAAGTTGAATCACATTATTATTGTTATTGTTTTGGATAGACTATGGTCTCATTCACAGACAAAACATATTGTGAGTGCGAGTGCAACCGAGGTTCAAACAGTGCGCTAAGGGTGAGAGCGTGCTGCGTTTGGACAACTGTCGGGACAGTGTCCTACCGTCCTCCGATTGGACACATTTTACGGAGATTTCTGACCAAAGGAACAGTGTTCTCAACTCCGAACTTCATTGGCTCTCGCATGCTGAGTTGCGACAGCAAGTGCACCTGCTCTCCTGTTGAGTCTGCAATAGGAGGAAGGCAGAAGATGAAATAGAGAGAGAACTGTTTTAAAGTTACTGTCCACTTTGTTCAATGAACAGCCTGCGTTCCACACGCCACCTCCAACAGACAGCATGTGAAATTATTTCACGCACTTGAGAAATACCTGTCTGAAAGACGAATAATTTCCGCTGCGTGAGCTAAACGTGAGACTTTCTGAACTACACTGGAGCTGAGTATGAACACTACCAACAAAAGCAATAGAGCTGCTGAGATTTCCGCCCAGTCCCCACAAAGGCTGACACGGCCAAAATTTTCAGACTCCCACGACAAGGATGTTGCGAACGACAACCAGTTGGCCTTTTATTTTGGAGAGGTCGAGGTGAAGATAATTCAGTTTTCGGTGGCTCTTGGTAAGTGCAACGCTGTGCCTCGCACCATAGTCTTGACCTTTGAAAGCGAGACTAGGCTTTTATATAGAGTTCATGTGATGGGGGAAACCAGCGATATTATTTCGAGTGCGTATTGCTGACGTACTGTGCACAGTTTTGGCGGCTGGAGGCTTTATTTCCTCGACTTAAGAATTAGATAATTGGACATAACCCAGCGGCTGGTGAATATGCATGAATTCTTGTTCAAACGAAACGCCCGTTTTTACGGCGCATCTACTCCTTACCAATTTTGATGGCCAACTATCATTCATAGGGGCTCTAGTTAATAATGCTGGTCTACAATTTCAAGTTTAAAAAGTGCTTGTGAGGGTGGTCATGATGTAACGTGAACTGCAATCATGACGGTGTTGATACAAACAGACAGAAAAACCGAGCATGCTTAGTTATCTGAATCAAGTAGTCTGCGGATGTTAAATCGCACAAAGGACCATACGAATAATCGAACAATTTTCTGCCTCAATTTCTCAGAAACCGTGATACCTTGTATTTTTTCAGCAGCATTTTTGACAGTATATCCGTCTTGCCAAATCGATTCCTTGAAATCTGCCTTTCTCTGGAAAAATTTACTTATTTCAGATATAATATATGATTCTGCAAAAATACTTTGTTTAAAATTGAAATGGGATTTCTCAAGTGAATTCCTTCTGTAATGGCTGTAGAGCGCATTGAGAATTTTTGGCGCTTCAGTAATGTCAACGAGTTCAGCGATGATATCCATTTTAACATTTAAAAGTTAAGTCCTGTAAGCGTACGCTTTCAATTTTTATCATCAGGCCTGTAAGGGAGGATAAAGTAACAAAGTTCCAGAAGAGCTACGGAAAAGCGGCAGTAGATGAAAATGGTTATCACAGGGAGATGATTGGGGACGTTCTGACATGTCAGATATCAGGGGCTGAGGAGACGGGACACTGTCGATGAGCTATGCTTACGTTTCCTCGCTGCTTTACGATTTTTATACAGGCCTGAGGATAAAGAAACGAAAACCCATATTCGCCAAATTCGACTTCCTCGATGCTTACATGGGCATCATCGCTGAACTTAAAATCATAAAGTTGACGTTTTCATATGTCACATGAGTGTTCCTTTTACACTCCCTGATAGCTAACAACAGTCGCGATTTTCATACATAGTCATGTTTGGGAATTTTGGTGAGAGCTTAATAAGCCCCAATGCATATAATCACCCTCAACAACCTTCGAATGGCTTAAAGGCTGCTGACCCGCCTTCTATAGGCTTCTCTGGCAATCAGGAAAACAGAGTTAATTTCTGCCCGCTTATCTCAGGCAATTCCTTTTTTCGGTCTTGCTCACCATTTCGGTTTTGAAGTTTGCAAGTGCACCTTTAAGATGGAGGTGGTGGCAAGGTGACTCATTTTAAAAAACAATGGCCAAACGCACTGCTTATAGTCGGCGCAGACCCTCAAACGCTGTTTTAGAACCGCCCATATCATGCCTCGGTGGCCCGTCTAAGCCAGTCCACGATGGAGAAGAGGACCAAAGTAGCAGACCCGGTCATCGTGAGGCCATTAAGAACCACTCAACAGTCGTCAGCACCTGCATCAGTCACAATGCTTGCGGGTCACGGCCGCAGGCAACGGGTTAGGGTTAATTTTACATAACTGCCTATTTTGTGTGCACACAGTATGACTTTTAAGCAGGCGTCTCACGTAGAGGTCAACACGGTACATTGGCAATAGTAAAGGTCGACCTAGAAGCGTGCGGCAACTATAACAGATTAGATTGCAAGATTTCTGACATCTCGTGGTTTAGACTAGTCCTCGACCGGTGAGGTTTACCTCTAACCCATTTCTGCCCGCACGCTGAAGTGACGCTAGACAACTCTTGGTGGAACGTAACAACAATTCTGCAGCAAAAGAGATTTTTCGAGTTTAAAAATAGGAACAGTTCTTCCCTCCATGTAAAGGGCTTTTGTTCCTGCGTAAGCAAAGGCAACGGTTAAGCGGCAAATATAATCGAAAAAGACTTTCGCGCGAATAGGTTTGGGCAACACTCTAAAGTGTATTCAAACACCATGATATGCCGGGATTTTGATGAGGACTCTTGAAAAATGCTCAAAGAACCTGGCGCCGACTAAAAGCAACACTTAAGTAGATGTTGGTTAAAATAGATTCTGTCGATTTATAGAAAGCATATCCGAATCGAACATTCATTTAAACGTACCAAGGCGATTAGTACATTGTCACTAGTTTTGGCTCACGGCCCTAACGTCTGATGGGCATGTTCACGGAAATTCAATCCACTTTTCTCTCGCGTTTTCAAGAAGAGAGATCTTGACGGGTGTAAACCGTTCGAACGTAGTTGCAAAACGTTGAAACACTTGTCGATGGGGGCAACAAGTATAAGAAACCTCACAACCTCATAAGACCGTGAAATATCCAGTCAAAACGTATGGTCTCCGCACGTTTATTAAAATTACCTATAAAGTATGCTATATCGTACATATCAGTTGCGAAATTTTACTCGCCCTATATCTGTTGAATAGAGTACAGCAACGCATAATTCTTCTTACACGGGAAGTATACAGCTTGTATTTTGGGAACCGCGAATGCAATTGCAGCGACAGGTGAGGTTTAAAATTATTTGCAAATAAAAGCTTTTATAACCAGAAGAAACACGCTTTCAAGGAATAGATATTAAGAAGACACAATCTGATACCATATGGGTATGTGAAAGGAGGTTTTTGTGAATGTTTTCCATCGAATGTTTGCGTATTGTGGAACACGGAACATACAGAAAAAATTGCACTAGATAAGAAGCCATTTTTTGCAGAGAATATTTTTGTAGGCGGCCAAACAGAAGCTCATTTAAAAGCCGGTATCCTGGCGTGAGTTATATATACTGGGATTCTATTGCATGTTAATTGATGTCTAAACGCTGCTTAAGTTATCTTTTCTGATCAAAAATGCATTTTGGAACTTCGGTCAACATTTCAGGCACAATCAAAATCCCCGTACTTTGGTCTAAGTAGCATGTGTCACTAGGTAAGGATTTCGTATTGTTAAACAAAATGATCTTTAGATCTAGTTTCACTTCGCTCGATGGGATATTTATTCTGGGACTGTCTATTCTATAGATAGCAACGCCGTCATAAATGACCGCCACTTAGTTTACGTGCAGCTAACAATTGAATACTGTTCACAAAAAATTCGCGCGCATCGATCCGCCCTGATTGCAGAACGGGACGAGTATTTACTCTTTGATCTGTAGTTGAGGGTTTGCAGTCCTTCCAGGGAGGCATGGCTACCACCAGTGATTTATTGACCTTACATGTACACCCTCAACCTCAGCTTAAAACGAAGATGCTAATTTCTATCCTACAATAAAAATAAATCGGTGCGATACAGTCTCGTCTTACTAACTCTTCCCGATCACACCACACAAGTAAAAGGTTTCCCGGAATAAAGGTCTGTAGTTAGTATATTAATGAGCAAACTAAAAGTCCTATAATTAGTTTCCTATTCATAATGTATTTTTCATTGCATTTTACTGATGAAATCAAAATATTTTCATCGTGATTCCGATTTTGCGTATAGGAAACATTGGCAGATGTTCCCTGTGAATAATCTTAAGAAGCCTATCATGATACTTTTGGTATTTGATGAATAAACTTGTCGTCCTGCTTACTTGTGGACCGTTTTTGCCCGACTTGCTTAACGCTAGGCACTGTTTTATTACTAATAATCCTGCACAGAGTGGTCTGGATAGTATTGAAAATGCTAGCTATCAACTCATGCGGTACGCACTCGGCTGCCAATTTTCGTACGCGCTCAAAATCGACTTTTGATGCGAATTGCTTCGACATCTTTGTTGCACCGGCATGTCATATCCTACTTATTCCCGGTGTGGTAAAACAAATACTGTCGAACAAGCCTATTACTGCGTTTAAAAGAATAAAACACTATAATTTTGCTAAATAAAATTTGTGAAAAAAAAATATTTCCTGTTTCGTGAAAAGCATGCGTCTCTACGTGTCTACCTTTGCGTAATTTTCATGGACTCAAAATCAGAATTTCCGCCCCAGAATAAATTTCTTCGAAAATTGTCTTAGTTACATAAGTGCACTTTTAAAACGTAACGCGCATAAATAAAAGGTTTTAATTGATGACACTCATTAGCGTAGAAAATTACGTGGATACCCCGAATTGTCCAATTTTGCCTATTCTTGGCCTGATCCTCCCCAATAAAACAGACGAAAAATGAATTCTTCGTTTAGATAAGGCTTTCTGGGATTCCAACCATTTCTAAAAACAAAACTTATCACACCAAATAGAAACTGTACCACTAGCTCTAATACCAATCTTGGCAATTCATGAGTTCGACAATCTTTTGCATACTTTACATGACCAAACTTATTTCTGTTCTTTTGGCCTAGTAAAATTTAAAATGAGCTGGAGATTGCGAAATGATTGCTTTCATATCATTCTAGTATCGGAAATGTGATATTTGTTCAGTGCAGCTTCACGTGACGAGTTGCCATTTTTTGGTCGTTTTTACTCCTTTGCCAGTAAAGAATTTCGAACAAACGTTCTTTTTTCAGTTTCTCTTGCAAAATTTCGTTTTTCGGAAACCAAATACGGTAGGTAAAGCCAAAAGCTGGCACATCGGGGTTTTTCGGTGGTTTTTAAAATTGGACCTGGCAGTAATTTTGACTTTAAAGCGTCCTCTCAAAGCTCAAAAACACGTGTCTTTTAAATTTAATTTAAGAATGCACGTGGCCTGCTGTTCCCTTTTATTTAGAAAGAATTAGAACAAATGGAAATAACGCTTAAAATAACGGAAAGAGAGAGTACTTCATATGCAAATATAAGCTCAGAGAAAATCTTGGTTTAAATAAAACTGACTACCGGCCTCTGAAGCGATTCTATCGTGCTAAAATTTTATACACCCAATCGTGTTTATTGTTTTAGAGATAGCAAGTTCACATAAGAAACATATTTGATTTTTTCACAGTGAATTTGAGCAGGAATGTGCAAGTCTTTTTTCATCATTATTTTCTGTTGTTATGCAAAGGCTGTCTTAGTAGGGTTAGAGCGCCTTTCAACACGGGGTGTTATCTCACGTCTTATCGAGCGAAACCGTGGTGTCTCCAAATTGATAAATGTTCCAACCAACAACGGTCGTTCTTGACAAACGTTGTTAGTTGCACATGATAAAATCTTGCATATCGATTTCGGGTTTATAAAAACGGTTTCAATAATCCAACAACCGTTAGATAAAAACTTTACTGATTCACAAAATCCTATAGCTGAAACAACTAAGGCCTTTAAACCTGCAAATATTATATGGTTTGACAGTTTTCGAGTGTTTAATCAACTTTGCCCTTGGTTATATCTCAATCTACTTATTGAAACATCCATTAATGCGGCACGTTTGCAATACTCATTCATTCTAATCAAGAGCAATTTATAAAAGTCTCTTTCCTTACCTGTTTGTCATGCGATAGGTATTTCAAATTCTCCAGACGATACCGGATATATATTTTGTGCATATGTGATTATTACTTCACGAAGGGAAACTTCTATGCGTTGCCTTTATAGCAAAGGAAAGGTAATTTTATTAAGTGAAAGGCAACTTTTTGCATCATAATGTTCATGGCGGCGTTTGCGACCACTATGCACAAGATGCCCTGAAGATATTTCGATAAGGTACAGCTTGTCGACCACAAGACTTTGGAAGCCACTAAAATAAGGAAAGGTATTTGCTGGGATAGTAAACTTGCTTAATAACGTTTTGACCCGCGATTTCAGTTGCCTTCCTTCAGAAAATGGGGAATCGCAGAGCTGGTTACAGGCTTCTGGAAGGACGCTTTACTAAAATCGCTATTTAAAACCCTAGGACACAAGCACATCCATCCTGGTGAACTTCTCTCCGCCTTTTAATACTACCCAGGAATTGCAGTTCTAGAACTGTTAGTATCCTCGGTAAACTTACTGTCTTGAAGACTGTTCAGAGCACAGCATTGCTTTTTGAAATGATGCAGAGCACTTTACTTTGAGAAAACAAATTACTTGACAACGGTATGCTAAGGAACCCCGCTTAACTGTCTGTAGCCTGTGGGTCAAGACATATGGGGTTTTATCTTGGCGTCCATTTGCAGGCCGTTGCCAATATTGCACTGAAAATAACGACAATTTCTTACCATGACCTCAAACTATTACCCAGGCTCCGTTATTTCCTTTAGAATTTGCCTTTTGTCTATTTCTCTATTGTCGCGCTCATTTCTTTCACTATACGAAAGTGTGCGACATGACTTTCGACATTAATCCAAGCAATTCCTGTGTTTTCTCTCATTTTGTCAGCTTATTATCTAGCGTGCTGTCCCACCCGTAAAACTTCCACTACCAGCATTCACGTATGACTCGTTCCACAGTCAACAGAAAGTTAAGAGGGGCTCTTTACGATACCGTTGTCAGTTAGTTTTTAAGAAAGAGATCATTTTCGACGTTCTCCGAGGCTGTAAAATCGTTTTTAATGCCAGAAATGAATTCGTGAACTGATTACAAACAGTTGTTAACAGTAATCGGGAAAGCCTTTTGTTGACTTTTTGGGATTGACTCTCTTGGAAAACTATCAAACTCTCAGAACGCCTTGGGATTTCCGAATTTAAAAAAGGCTCTTTTCAAAACATTTGAGAAAAATTATTTAAGAGAGAAAATTACGATATTATGCTGTTTTCGGTTCAGACTATTACGCATCGTGTTTCATTGTTAGAAATACTAACATCTATTTTGCATGATCTATCATTCTGACTGCACGTGCTTCACCGATATTCTGACGCTGCATGACCCACCTGTGAAGGATTCGGCTCATCAGCGCGTTTCCCATCCTTCGCCATGCACATTATTTTAAATATTCCTGACTTAAACTTCGTGTCTTTAATTTTCTTAAAAATCAATTGCTAACCTTAAAGTAAATCTGTTTGTTTGAATTAAGCTCTGAAGGCTCTGTCAAAAAGTTACTATGAATATCTGAACCGCAATCTGTCAACTTCAATGGGATAATCGCGCGCTACTTTGAAATGTGTCTGTAAAATATCCTTCTCATTAATTTACTTTAAGGTAGTTCGTCGATTTCTCAGGAGAGTAAAAAGCAGAAATATTTGTTTTGTTCGCGATTTCATCTTTATCTGGGCAGATTTAACTTGTTTGTGTACAAGTCAGCGCACCTTTTCCTCACTATAAAAAATCGGACGCGCTTAAAACTATCCCGATACACGAAAAGCCGCGGCTAAGAAGGTGGCCAACTGACGGGATAACTTGAACTCCGCAGTCGGCCCAGTGTTGTGTGTTTGTGTGGAGCGGCCAAGTGGTGGTCTAAGAGTCAAGCTGCAATGGCTGCTTCTTAATGAGACCTTTATGACACTCCCACTCCGTGAGACCCGAGCCAGGTGTGACGGTGCGCCTAGATGCGACTTCGGCCGCGCCAGCCACTTTTGTTGTTGTGGGTTAAAATCTTGGTCATTTGCTGTGTGGACCAGGGGGTGTGGAGTGGAGCGGCACGGTTCGGGCTCGACCGTGTCATCCGCCTGCGTCCTCCCCCGCCTCCGGTTTTCCTGACTATGTCTTGACACCGGGTCCAGGTGGGAAGGAGGTGAGAGTGCGGTAGATGCACCGCAAGTGTACATTCACTAAAAACTAAATCATCCACAGGTCACCGTGTCTGTTTAACTTTATTGAAGGCGTCACATCATCTCATCGCTGTTTTTTTTACTTTAAATAGCCTCACCACTCCAGATGCGACCCCTTTATCACGCCGAGAAGTTGAATGTGATGGAAGGCAATGAGTTGATGTTGAATTGTCGTGTCAAGGGACGGCCCACTCCTTTGATCTCCTGGTATGTGAATTCTACGCGTCAGCTTGGATTGTGGGATGCCTCCACGGGCCGGGGTGTTATTCACACGCATCGGTAAGTCTTTAGTAGTTTTTTTGTAATCAGAACGTTCAAAATCAAAAGTCTTCTTACACTCCTACTACAGCGAACTGTGCACGTTCAGCTGAATTATCACAATTCTGGTTCACAAGTCAGCTTCTTCCGTCTGATCAAAGAGGAGGCTTTCTCACTTTTAATTTTTTCCAAAACGTATGTTGTATGGCCTGCTTTTGTCTGCAATAAAAGATAGTTCGGAAGCAGGCAGTTTGCACATCATCAACTTTATTCACGCGCATCTGCTCACCGATTCAACAAAAACACCTAATAATACCTGTGAACATGCATTAAACCGATCCGATATGCTCTCAGAGTAGAAAAGGAACGTTTGTCTCCTATCCTGCCGCTCTGACCCAAAAGTCATTATTGTGGTAGCATTATGTCGGGCGATCCGTAAAACCCTAAGTTATACCAAAAATCCCCGGAGCATATTAGTAAATTGACTTTTATGGCTCGCGAGCATTAGGGGCGACGTTTACTCGTAAAAAGCCTGTTAACTTTGCAGATCAATTTGTAGACTAAAACAAAGACGTTCTGGAACACGCCTCCGCTCCTTTAAGTGTTTCCACAAATGCTTTTCGGGTACGACACCTTTCTCCTGACTGTCGCATGTAGGGGCGGTACATGAAGAATGTAAATCTGCCTTGAAATCTAGGAAAGACTAGGTCTTCTGATTTCTATCAGAACTATCGTTTTTACACTTGGGGAAGAAGCCTAATGACTGTTAAAACACTCCTCAGCTAACAGAGGAAAATTTAAGCCACTCAGGGATTTGCCTGAGGCTGGACATTATACAGTTTTTTTCAAATTTTTCAATCAGATTTTCCCCAACATGCGGACTGTTGGCCCAGTTTTATCGACGTACTTCTCTGCGAACAATGTGGTCGGAAAGCACGTGTGTGTTGAGGTTAGGTCAACACGGTCAACGACGACAATGTCCACCGTATGCCCTATGGGGTGTGCGCAGCACCGATGACTTGCTTAGCGTCTACTGCCCTTTCTCCTGCCCATTCACCAGGCTCGATCGTAAGGTATTGCTGATACGACCGGAAACGGTCTCGAGTCCGGTGGCTGAAGAAGCTAGGCAGCCCGGCTCCTGAGCACTGTACCATGGAAGAAAGAGAGTTCACTAGGCTGTTGATTTCTGACTTGCGTCTGCCACCACTGGCTATTTACGATCCCAGGTAGCACGTTTGAAGCGGCCTGACTGGGTACTTGCGGCCTGGGTCGAAATGCAACAGCCATGCATAGTGATTTAAAAAGTCGTTGCACTTGACTTGTGAGGAAATTTTGTATTACTTAGACGGACTACAGCAAATTAGATACACGCTTTTTGGATTTTCGCCTATGGGAGCATCGGAGTAGCAATAGCGTGGATCACGTATCTGCGCTCTAAAGCCATCCTTCCAACTCATTTCCTGCGATTTATTATAAAGAGCAGTCAAGGCAGGTCGTTCTCCCCGGCTAAACGATCATCATTTACACGGGCTGAATGTTGCCATTTCTGTGGTTGGATTAACTAGTCCTCGTAAACGACAGAAAAGTGGTAGATGATGCATGCTATTGTAGTGGCTTAATGATGAATTACAGAAAATTTATTTTTTTAGATTGATTTTTCGAGCCTTACACGAGAATATTCGCAGAAATTAGATGACACACCTTTCGAGTAGATTTTTAGACTTACCCAAAATTTCCTAAAGTTTTGTTCCAAATTTCACAAATGAAGCTTATAAATTACTCTAGCCCTCGCTGTTTTCGGCGAGCTGATTGGTGAGATACGACTAAGCTGCATAAAAGCGGCAGAAGAATTGAACCGTGCCCACGCATATATGGCAAATAATATGAAGTAGATTGAAATTTTTGAAAAGCACGGCAGGCTGACCTTCTGTCGGTTTTCCGTTTTCTATGATGCATGATCCTCTTATACAGTTTGCTATTGGTACTCATGCTCCCCCTTAACAACATGGAGGAGATCACCGTATGTCCCTTGTTGGTTCTTCATCGCGCTGTCCGACTATTCTATAAAATTCAAAGTAGTATACTGGGTTTCGGCTCCCTTGTAAGGGACCTCTGTCTAACCAACTTTAGACAAGTAAGGAACTGGCGGACGAAAAATTACCTGAAGCCCCGATAGGGCGCCAAAGGCGTAGGTCTAACAACTCAAAGTAGTATGCTTGCTTTAGAGAAGGTAATGGATAAGTGGGCATATATTTAACGTGGTACTCGCAGTTTTCCCGACTCCTGCACATGCTAAGGACGTTGAAAGCGTGCATCATGTATTCGCAAAGATTTTGTTCTCCTTCTGCAATCAGGAAATTCTTCGTCAGATGTAGTTTGAAGTACTACTCTGTTTTGTAAGAGTAGCATTAGTTGATATATCCTAGCTGTAAGGCGAAAGTCATTATTTCCGTTTGGGAATTGCGCAAGTTCCTATAGAAGGATTCAGGTGACTAGTAAATAAGTAGACGTTTGCTCTCAATACATTCACCCCAGGCCCGTACATCTGTGTAGTAACGGGACCGATTAAAATATTTGGGTAATGAGTTAAACAGGTAGTCCTCAGAAGAAGAAGAAGAAGAAGAAGAAGAAGAAGAAGAAAAAGAAGAAGAAGAAGCGATCGCTGGGGCAAGAATTTTACTGGCCTGACGTTTCGGATTCTCGCTCGAACCCATCATTAGAGAGGGTTGCAGATAAAGGTAGTGGAGGCACCAAGACTGCAGTACTTATGGCACGTAGCTGCCGTGGGCCGTATACATGGTATTGAAACCCCTTAGTGCAAATATAAGGTGCTATCCAGTTGAAAAAATGCTTCTAACGAATATTTCAGTTTGGATAAGCATTTGGAGCCTACTATGGGCCAGTGATTAACAGTGCTTTAAGACCACGTTTCTTCACAATGTCACACAAGTAAACATCTCCAGATAATGAAGACTTGAATTCACTAAGCAGCTTTGATCTAAATCTAAAAATATACCCATAAAAGATGCGCAAATGTAAAATGCTATTTCACCCGATAAAGTCGGTTGGCAGAAAGCAAGCACAATTTATTTTAAATTAAGATCTGGGGCTAAGTTAGATAGCCCTTTTAAAGACCGCAGAAATGACCTTTAATTCATATAAAACAGACTACGCAGTATATTTACACGCCTGCTGTCTATTTTACGATCATGTCTGATCAGATCTGTTAACTTTTTTACCAAGCAACTGTCATTTGGAGAGGGTGGAAAGCGGTTCTGTTTTTCAGACGCACGTGGTCGTAAAATATTTTGGCGGCTGTTTGGGGAAAGCTGTTTTATCACCCATAACCATGCAAGTGCTGGGCAGCGTAATATGGAGGCCGGGCGGTTTGACGTAATTTCTTATTTTGTCTACACACTCCACCTTCCCTGGCACCTGATAATGGTTAAACCTCTTGTCAATGACCTCTAGATTACCTTCTAGGGGGTGCAAGGTATAACTTTTCTTGTGGGAGTGAATATGTATTCGGGGAAAAAGGGTCATGAAAAACTCTTCTCACCTCTCGAAAGTCGGCATTGACGCATTACTTCTCGTTTAAGATCCCTATTTATTATAGCAAAAGGAATAATATTGCAATGATAGCTTTTTCTCAGAATGGACATTTACACGTCTGAAGTAAAGCCCACAGGAACAAGAGTTCCAGTCCAATTCAGTTAAATTTTCAACAAGCTGCTGAATCACGATGAAGTTTATGAAAGAAGATATGGCGGCGAATTTCGCGACGTTTAATTCTAACAGAAGTATCCACAACATTGTCAGTTATCTAGTTTTGAAGTTGCAAAAATTCCCTAGCAGTACCATCTAACTACTGAGTCAACAAGTGCAGCAGCTGCTTCACGGAAGAATGAACAACTAAGGAGAAGGGATATTCGAGGTGGTTAGAAAGAGAGCACTGTTTACAGCATCAAATATTTATGGTAAACAGACTGCTAAACCCAGGAAAAAACAAATAACTCGCTCTTCCAAGAAGGCTCGGTAAAGTGCCATGTGTAGCAAAGTCGAGTCAGTGGAGTCAGGATCGTTTAGGTAGCCCTACGCCTATGGGACAGGGAATTAAGGGCGTCCAGACTTAACAGAGTTGATCTTGGGCTAAATTCCTGAAATGATAGCACCATGTCATAACCCTAGAATTTACCCCAAGCTCGCCTTAATCCTATGTGTGTTGCGGCGACTGCTATTTCCGTGTCCTTTCGAGGGGCAAATAAACGATGCTTACCGTCAAGAGTATCTGAGACATAAGTTGCTTCACTATTTTATTCGACATTTTCACCTTTCACGAAGCGCCTTTTACGGTGTCTAAGGTGCAAACATTTGGAGCAAAGCAATTTTCAAAGTCTAAAAATTGCAATATAATGTGCATTGTCTGCAATTTATTGAAGGCAGTTTGATTATCGCAATTCTCACAAGCATATTTTCATTTAAACATTCAAAATGAGGCATACTAATGCAGCATATAAGACTTGTAGAACTCAATCACAATGCAAGTAAACCTGTTTCGTAAATCACCTGTTAGTTAAATCTAGTTAAATGATGAATAAAGACCTGAAAATGCTGTACAGACTAACACTTGGTGGTACGAGCGGTTTGGTTAAAAATGGGTTTATTCGGAAATTTAGCGTAGTAGAGACTGCCGGTAGAAGCGAACACGCGAGTTCCAGGAAACATTTCAGAAGAAGAAGATGATGCAATCGTTGGAACAAGAGGTTTATTGGCCTGACTTCTAGATTCTCCCTTGAGCCCAGTACCAGAATGAGTCGTAGATGAGGATGATGGAAGCACGATGAGTACGATATTTAGAGGCCGCTTTTGTAATCACAGACCTAACATAATTGGCAGCTTCGGCAGTCATCGCTGGGGTCTCGTTAATGATGCAGTGATCGCCTGTTAGTCCGCATTCGAGTCATTAGGTGTCGAAATGTAATCACCACTGTAAATTATTGGTGTGATAATTTCTCAGTCATTTGGCTTTCTGTCACTGGAATTGTCGGTCGCAATCGTTCTCCCTACATGGCTAATTACTCTGCCCGGACAAGGTATCAGCACAGAATAAGAGGCCACATTCTCCCATACTTGCCCGTTCATTACAACAGTCTGGTGTGTGCACCACCTATGCGTAATTACATACCTTGTATTTGTAATCTTATATGCCCCATTTCGATCAAGTTGATAATGTTTGTTGCTCATCTGCCCTCCTACCACTTTATCACAATTCGCTTAACTTTAACGTCTTGCTTCTCACAGTTGCCTTAAACTGGACAACAGTCAAATCATTAGGGAGTCGAATTTATTTGTGCGCTAGTGCTTGAGTCTATATTATATGCGCCCTGGATATCCAACATAAGCATGATGAAGAATAGGGTCTGCTAGATTTTGCTATGCTTTCCGAAAGCAGCCATGTCATTTGACCGAATATGTCGAATTTTCGACGGAGACTCTTGAACAGACGAACTAACCGTCTTTATCGTTCTAAAAGCTGTTATCTTTGTATCACTACTTTGATGCAAGTGTAACCTACCTAATACACATTTCAAATCTTCCGGGTAATACGGCATAAAGAGGATGGGACGATGGAGATCATAATAGCCTGAATAAGTTTGTTTCCGATGTGGTAGTCTTCACCGTTTCTCGTCGAGCAAACAGTCTGTGCATAATTTCGGCGATGATACCCATGTGCACACTGATGAAGTCAAGACGTGCCTCTCTGATTACTTATTACTAGCCCAAAGAGTAGTGCATTAAGGTCATGGCAATGCAATTAAAGTTCGAAAACATTCAATGAACATTAGTAATGGGGAAGAGGGCTGAGGACGTTAAAACACTTCAGAAATTATGGTTTATTATAGTCAAGTTCTGTCAGGAGAGAAGGCTGGGAAACTCAGTATGCCACAAATAATCCGTTCTTAGATAAAGCGTAGCGTATTTGCTATTTCTGCAAAATGGCGCTCCAAATCAGTATAGTTGGCTTGCATAGACTTCCAACGTCACGATCTACAGTAGATGTGCTAACTCATGAAATGTCAACCAAAATTTCGAAATGCGTTCTCGCTTCGAAAAGACAAATTAAGTAGTGTTGTGAACCTGATCATGATGCAGCATAAATCTATAATGATCCAGTTACCTCAGGGTGTCGGCTTTCGAAATGACTTATTATCGGCTGCATGCAAGATCTATACTCTGCAAAAAATGACTACATATGTAGCATGCAATTGTCTCATTGATTTTCGATGCCCTTGAAAATTCAATTATATTTCATGGAAAACATGCAAAAAATATTCATTCTTTTACTTAATCGGTAGAAAATCACGTCTTCTTCCAATTTCATACCCAAAAAAGAGTATAATTCGGTTTTAGAAAACTGTTCTAATTCCCGAATAATTTTGAACCCGACCTGCTGTTAAACTTGCATTCAGGGTTTCAAAACTACAAGCTGTATATTTTCTGTGTACGGAAAACCATGCATTTTCCCACGGTATTAAGAGGAGACCATATGAGGTTAGTAAAATTAAGCAGTGGATTTGAGCAATATTGTTAACTTTACAAGCCACATTCGTAAATGCAGATACATGACATTTCATGAACGGCCATTTAACGGTATTAAAAAATCTCACAATTAGAAAAGTTTTTTAAAACCGAATTATGCTCTTCGTTTGAATATGAAATTGGAAAAAGACGTGATTTTCTACCGAATAAATAAAAGAATGAATATTTTTATGCATGTTTTCCATAAAATATAATTGAATTTTCAAGGGCATCGAAAATCAATGTGAAAATTGCATACTACATAAGTAGTCATTTTTTGCAGTCTATAGATCTTGCATGCAGCCGTAAATAAGTTTGTTCGAAAGCCGACATCCTGAGGTAACTGGATCATTATAGATTTATGCTTCATCATGATTAATTTTACAACACTACTTAATTTATCTTTTCGAAACGAGAACGCATTTCGAAATTTTGGTTGACATTTCATGAGTTAGTACATCTACTGTAGGTTATTGCGAACCTCCATAGGTGCCTGCCGTAAACCATCGTAGTTTTCTCTCTCGTTGGAAGACCGACTACTTCCCAAAGAAATCGAAGCTTAAAAGGCTCAGTAAATTCTGTAATGTGACTCACTTTTTCAAACGACATGCTGCAATGCCAGTTAGTGTTCACCGATTGATTAACGAATAAAGTGGAATTTTCGAATTGTAAGATTGGCATGAATAAACAACTTGTACATGCCTTTATGAAGTTTGAGTCTGACTAAAAGGAACGGAAGACAAAACCCAAAATCTGTCTTTAAGGCATGTGATATTTAAGGGAGTCTGAATGAAGTTGAAATAATGGGAAATTTTGATGTATCTTTGTAAGCTTATCTTTGCACATTGCCACGCTGGTTGTCCATATAAACGGTTTGACTTAGGTACGTTCATAAAACCTTACTAATCAGGTTCTAGACAGTTTTAGTACTGTAAAGCGGGTAGACTACTTGGGACTGAAACCGCATCTGTTATATTAACTTTTCAAGATTGCTTTCTGCCTGGTCTCCAAACATATGGGTAACGTACGGGAACCGTTAACTTTTGACTATGCGACACAAAAATAATTTATAGTTAACTGAAGTCCACACCATTAAGCGTCTATTACATTGCGTGGCGCCATCGCGATTGGCTAGATTTTTCCCCCCTTGTCCTTGTCAAATGTTCATCAGTCCCCCAAATCGGGATGTCCATTGATGCATGTCTTATCTGGACGTACTTCAAACACATTTTCACGAAGGTGACTGACAAAAAGGCATTCTTGTAGTCAGTCCATAGGAACTGGTACCCTATTGAATTGCATTAATGGAGGAAAGGAAACACGTCCACTTGATGGTCGTGAATTACAGTAGATGTGAAATCTCATAAACTGTTCGCCTAATTCGTAAAATGAGTTTTCAATTCAAAAATGCTACCTAAGAAATGTTGCAATATTAGTCCCCAGACAGGATAATCCCAAAATATTCCCGGTTTTTGCAAGAGCTTCTTTCCAACTGTCTGCAAAAACTGTATGTTTTAAAAATGGCTACTTAAGTAGCATGCATTTTCCCATTGGTTGTCCATCGCTTTGTAGATTCAAATATGCATAAAACGTCTACCGTTTCGTACTCATTTGGTAGCAAATTCGGTCTTCTATAAATGTTATGCTTAGGGCAAAGAGTACCTTCCGATTTTGAAAAAGTCTCTCATTAGGAGATTTCTTGAGATCGTGAAACGTGTCTTCGTAGGAAACCGTATCTAATTTACTAATGCTGCTTATAAAGAATAAAAATTTAACCATGTCCGCTGCAAAATCTTCTGAGCATCTTACCGCGGCTTCCTAGCAGCACATAGAATTGTTTGGTTCATCTTACACGGAAAATTGATAGCTTGTATTTTGGGAATCCAGAATGCAAGTGTAACGGCAGGTTGGGTTCAAAATTAGTCAGGCATCAAAGACGTTTTTTGAAAACCAAAGGATAGTTTTCGTTCAATTGTAAAATTTGAAGAAGACTGGACTTACTATCAAATGAGCATAAGAAAGAACATTTTTGTTTATGCCTTTTATAAAGTACATTTGGATTAGATGTGCCAGCGAAAATAAATGGGAAAATCCCGTACTACTTTAGCAGCCATTTATGCAAAATGTGGTATTTTACTGACGGCCAGAAGGATGCTCGTTCAAAAACCGACATCCTGTCATGACAGAAGTTTCTGAGGATTATGCAGCACAATGATCAACGCTACAAACTACCTAGAATTATGACTAGTGCCTCTCAGTCTACGTTTGACTGGTTACGCAGAATTTAAACCGTGATATCCCAGGCTATGTGCAGGGCTGAGTGTCACCCTGCAGGCTCAGAAAACCATGACTCTCGCAGCCTGATATGCGCTGACAGTTTTCTGGCACCCAGTTCCCTACCGGTAGATGCGCTTGCACTCCTGTTGGGTATAAAAGTCGTGGGCATGACTGCCCAGTCATCATCCTCGTCCTTCTGACGCGTTTTGGTGCCGTTGTTGTTGGTTAGAATCCTGCTCAAGTGTTTGCTGTAGACCAGGGGGCGTGGACGTTCGCCTGGATGCGGGTCTGGCCGTTTCAGCCATCTGCATCCTCCCTCACCTCCGACCTTCTTAACTATGTCTTGACACCGGGCCCAAGTTGGGAGGAGAGAGTGCGTGGGCATTGCGCAAGTCTACGCTCCCTATAAACTAGCTCACGCGCAAGTCACCGTGCCTGCTTCACCTTGCTGTGGAGCGCACGGTGGACCTCGTGGAGCACGACGGTCGAACTGTCTCTTGGACAACCTTTCCGGATCGAAGATGCACTACGGAATTTCGGTTAACATTTAATGCGGTACTTTCGATACGCACTAGATGTTCACGAAACTACTTGTTTAGGCTGATATCCACGAAGAACGTTCTAATGGACTGATCAAAGTTCTGCCTCAAACAGGTCAGGGCTCTTCGCAACAGCTGAAATTTTCTGATGATATCGGGATCGTTTACAACAACATAGCATCGATTGCTGCCGCCCTCCACTCGCTTGTGTCACTAATTTTGCCTACCGACGACTATTGCTAACTATTGGAAAATTAAAAATAAATTTCCTACATCCTGAGAAGCCAGTAGTCTTTCCACAACGTTTAAAACCTCCTATAACAATTCAGTTTCGTACTAGTTTACGACTGGTTGAAGGTTTCTTTTTTGCAACATGATGATGAGCTGTTATTTCATAGCGTACACACAATAAGTAGTTCGCACACGGAAAGATTGTGCAAAGATACTGCCACTCAAGATTTGTGAGCTAATAAACGTTGACTATATTCAATCATCCCATGTGCCGCCTAATTTTAGGGAGATTGCGTTACACTTAAAAGGCCCATAAACAGCCAACTTCTCGTAACAGTCGTACTTGGAAAGCAATAAAATGTTAGTTAGCAACAAGCCGTGGGAGAAAATATTCAGTAACAGTTTCTTTCACAGGTAACTGCAAACGGCCTTGCATCTTGAAAGTCAGTGAGGCTGTGATATGTTTTACGGCTAAGCTAAGTGACATGCTCCATTTAAAACGTAGGTTTATGGTTTCAGAGTTGCGTAAATTCCCATGTTGGGATTTAAAAGACCAGTTGGCGATTATGCGTGTACTTTTGATAAATACTCATCGGACCAGTAGATTTGTGTGGGAGCGGAGTGCAAGTAAAACACTTGATAGAAGAGCGAAATCGACTACAGTTAATCCTTTCATACAAATGGGATCTGAGAACAGGGTGTGGGGAGGAAAAAAACACAGTGAGTTAGGAGGCTGTGAGGGTAAGAGAGAAGGGGAGACGGCGAGGAGGGATGCACACAGTTAAACAACCTTTGGCCTTGGTAAACGTGGAGATTGCACGAGGTTCTTCTGCGCGCACAAGACCGGCTTTCGTAACCTGCTGGCAGTCGCCTCTGCTGTCGCTAACAGACGCTAACCCTGTGGCTTAGGGTAGTTCGGGGGATCTTGTGAATCACACGGAACACTGCGATGGTGTCCGCACGATACCCGGAATCGACAATCTGTGCGAGAATGAAGCTGTTTATGCTTTTAATTTCGTCTTTTCTCAAGCATGCCGGGAGGTGTTCCCGTATTCCTATGGATAAGTGTCAACTCGATCGACCAATATAACTTGCTTCACAGGAACAAGCAGAGGGGTGAAGGCACACTGAGGTGGGCTGGGCTGGCAACCTACCCCTACCTTCTCTGTGTAAAAGAGGGGTGACTGGCAATATTATCCGAACTTTTGCCACTGGCACGGTTCGCGAAACGGCCTGGTGAAGGCGTCTTCTCGGTAGTTCACTCTTGATAAGGGGTTTTGAGGAAAAGAGTTTTCCCGCCGTAGGTGTGTGGATTCTGCTGTTTTATGGCTTTCTGTCAGTATTTCAAGAATTTATGCACCGCTGAATAGCTAGTGCATGTGCTGATAATAGGGTAAATAATTACGCAGTCGTAGACTACTGGCTGCCTGTTGGCGGACTGTGAATATTACATGGTTATTCCGCAGTAGCTGGTGAATTTCAGCCCAACTATTCATATCAGCTTTTGAATAGAGCCTGAGAAGGTCTCTTCCAAAGAATCTACTCCAAGTTTACACATTAAGTTCCTCAGAAATTAAACATGGCAGAATAAGCCCAAGGTTTACCGGACAAATGAAGTATAGCAGGAAATAGACAGCCCCGCTGTATGCAAATTCAGTTTGACGCCCAGTATATTCTGTGCCAGTACTACAACGACTCAAAGTTAAAAATCACACAAACCCAACGAATTACTGTCAGGTGATTCGTACAGAAGGTCTTTTACTACCATCTCCCCGCCTCCAGCCCTCATCATTCTGTATTGGCATAGGGATTTGGGGTGCTGCAACATGCTTTCCTTCTGACTTAGCTTCTGCACCAACGCACGATTAAAATAGCGGATGCAGTTGCCATTAAAGCGGACGAACTGAACTTTTCTAGATGACGCAATTACTCACGAGCCAAAACCCCTGCTTCTCTTATCGCATTCAACTGCCCTAGATGATTACTTAATTGGCATGCCTCCAAATTCAAGAAGATTGGTGCATCAATTGTGGGAGTGGATGGTAGTCTAGCTCCCGTAGACGACCGTTCATTCATAATCCCCTATCCGCCAAAATAAAGTAGGTCTTTACGGAAACTGAGGTGGAGAGGCTATAGACGCAGAACTTTCCGATGCCTCCTGTCGTCCATCTCCCACTGTCATGTTCTGACTCTCATTAACAACAGATGATTCTTGAAAACCACTCCTTTCGGTACTCCAAGTCCCCTTAAGTGCGGACGCAGGTCATCCGATTTTCGAGTTTAGTGGACAAACTGGGCGGCTGCTCTGTCCGGGTAATGGGCGTGTCCACGCAGCCTTGACCTGCGCTCTCCGCCCTGGAGTAATGCAGCCAGCCACAATGCTCACGTCTTTTGAACCGCCTAATGAGGCAATCACTCGTCGAAGAGAGCTAATTACGCTGTTTCCTATAAGAAGATACGTCCTGTTAGGTTCAGGACTGTTAAAATATTTACATGCATCCAGTAGACGAGGGAGGATGGATGTCCGGACATCGATTAGTCCTCTGCAGAGATCACAACTATATCCGCTCATCCAGTGGCCATATAGACTGGACGCTGGGACTTCCGTACCGTACGCGCCGTCTATTCCCTGACATCGCTGTTCATCATCCGCTCCCCTTCCATCCTTCTCTGACAGCTCGACAGTCAGTTCAGCCTGTTGCAATGTTCGCCTCCATTACGCCCACAGTGGAGTGGTGCGTGATAGCATCAGACAAAGGCAGTACTTTCGTCATCCTGTGGAAAAACTGCACTCAGGTTGTTATGTCGGGTCCTAATGGCTTTAAGCAACCTAGAACCGGCCGAGGAGCCGATGCGTGTCCCTCATTATTCATAGATTCCGTTCATATAAAGTGGCCGCCTGGCAGGTTAGAGCGCAAAATAAACTCGCTATTGGAAAAAAATGGCACCCTGAGTTTCTCTCTGCGCTCTTTGAGCGTTTGCAGGTTTACCTCGCCTAATCGCCGTTTTAAATAAAAGTAAAATAATCAACTCAAAGCGCATTCTCGTCATAATCGCCATCGCACTCTCATTGTATGTCGGCCTCTTGGGGAATTTTCATGTAAATTCGCGTTGCGACTTACTAGAATGCAGTCCTTTTGGCAAGTAAAGGATAACAAATTAAACACCGGGGGGATTTTACGTTACCTAGTTTTGGGTCACCAATTATTCAAATGAATCATTCGATAAAGCCAGGCGGACCAGGTCACTTATATCACTTATACTACAGAAAGCGTTCGAAATCTACTTATCAGACGTGTTTCGGCAGATTTCAAATAATTCACGTTGACCCAACTGTGAAAAACTCGGTGCCTCGGTGGGATGCGAACCCACGACAGCAAAGAAAGGCTTTAGTACAGCCAACGGTCTGACCATCTGAGCTGACAGACCCCACCGGATGACGCGATTTTTATCACATTTAGGTCAAATTTCTCCGCCCAATCCACCTCTAAATTACGTGGGCCTGGTAGTCATCCGGTGGATTCTAGATGAATTACTTAGGAAATCCTGCTTGGGAAGTCAGCCTACTATATCATATTTGGTGGATTCCAGACGTCGCGGTAGGTTGGGCGGGTAAATGTGAGCAAAATGTGATTAAACTCGTGTCGTCCGGCGGGGCCTCGTAGCTCAAGTGGTTAGAGCGTTGGCTCTACTAAAGCCTTCCCCTTACTGTAGTGGGTTCGAATCCCACCGAGGCGCCGAGTTTCTCACAAATGGGCGAAAATGAGAAAAATTGCGAAGGTATGGGGTATATTTTACCACAATACTCACCAAGACTCAGCTGGTCCCGTACCTTCACTATGTAACCACCGTCAGGAGAGGAATAATTACCAGACTGTCTTCAAAACTGATGTTAACAGACGACGTCAGTATTTGCTCACATCTCATAATTGGTGTTTAACCCGCCCTGCCGGGGAATCCCCATTTTAAGTTTGCAATCTAGAGCCAATAGGATGTAGACAGCTGGGTACCCACCGGAATCAACTAGGTGTTTACTTCCATTCACTGGCCCTTCCCCGCATTCGTGCCGACTGTTCCAGCGCTTACCTACGGATAATTAACTCCCAGACCTGCAAATAAACAGTTGTGCCTGACGCGAAAGGGTAGTCGGCTTTAAATTGAGATAAGATTCTTACACTAATTCTTAAAAGATATGTAAATGAAAACTTCAGTAAAAGATTATTTTCAGGGATCATTTTATTTGCGCTCTTATATTTACTTAATGTATTGCATGGGCAGGATTTCCGTACATAAAAAACTGAAGTTTACTAGACCAAAACCGTTTTTAACCTTTTCGGGATTTTCCTGTTTTATAAATAGAATTGAAATTTCGGTAAGACATGGTTATGCAGCCCCACCTGGTGGACAAAATACTGTTGGGGCTGGGATTGGTGGTTACCGTTAGGGGTTAAGGGTTATGGTTAGTGGTTATGGTTAGGCACCAGGGTTAGGGATTAGGGTTGGGAGTTAGGGCGCCTATTTCTCAACCACTCAAAATACAACCGCGCTCTCTCAATAGCTTTTCTTTTGCATACAACTACTTGACCTCGTCGCCTGTGCGTTCCCCGGCCCAACCTGTAAAAACCCCTATCACCACCGGTCTCGTATTACAGGTGGCTGGGGTTTTTTTTTATTTCAGGTAGGGCTACACACGCATAACCTATATTTCTAAACAACACAACATTACATTTGATATTTATTATTAACATAGATACTGGGTCCACGCACTGGCATCGGTTTGCGAGTGATTAGCAATCTTTCGTAAATTTCGACACCTTTCATGAGTTAGGTAACCTTCTGTTCATGTCAACGTAAGACTACGACAACAGGGTTCATCGTTTCGACGTCATTTCAAAACGTGAGATGAACGGTCCTTTGGGCAATGCCATAGTCATCAATCCTATCCCAAAATGTTTAAACATCAAAGAAAGTAGGGACTAAAGAATTCACGTTCACTAATTTTTTTGGAATTGCTGCAGGGGATGCTTCCATTTTGTGTTGGCCTACGGTAATGTGTCCTGATTCCTGGACGGAGTACTGGCCTCCTATTTCGACCTGGACTTTTGGTCCAGGGAACGTAAATGTTGCTGCCTGGGGAGGAGTAGTACTTAAATAACCGAAAGAGGAAGCATCGTCCTTACTAAACAGACTAGCCTTTAGACCATTTCCTTCCTATCTCCGGAAGTAACCCGGAAAGCTACATCCATGTACAAGAACATGCAGTGATCTTGCCCACTTTATTTCCTACTTTAGACGGTCCTCAAAACTCCATATTTCGAACATCAAACTGACGGACACTGGAAACTATTCATGCCTGGCAGAGAATGTGAATGGATTCATAAGAAAGACGGTGTTTATCATTGGTAAGTGGATTTTTACAGAACTTTTAATGCCGTCTGAGGTGAAACCACTGACTGATTTCCATACCATGCTTCCTTAAGTTACAAACTAGGATTCTCTATGACAGAATTCCCATACCAGGAAATATTCACTGAGCTAGAAGTACCACGCAATCACCACTAAATATAGACTTCATTTATTGATATAAACACGATATTTCTCCTACGATGTTTCCGCATCTAAGCCTATTGTTTTTCCGTTTCCGCACTAATCCTTTTAACATGGTAGTTTGGTCCGTAGGAAACTATAACAGTACAACATTTTCACGTTCCAGGTTTCGTGAACCTCGACCTCTCCCTCTTTATTTAGGAACTGAAATTTACCTTTCCCTACCCCTTTTATTGCAGTTTCTCCCAAGCCTGTTACTACCTCAAAACCAGAGATGTCAACTCCCGCACCCATCTCAGGTATGCCCTTTCTGGATTGTACATGCCTTAAGATTTTAACGATCAATTTACTGGCCGGTGTTTGTTACAATGTGAGAAAGCAGAGGTCCGACACTAGTCTTTCTCTGCCTTTTAAGCCTCCTTGATATGGTATCAACTCCCCCCCCCTTAGAAACCGCAATCCTGAAGTCTGTTGGGAGGCAAGAGTACACCGTGAAAACCAATGTTTATATGCTTTCATGCAGTTGGTGCAGATAGCAGTTTGGTGAGGGGTTTTTGGATAAACTGGTCTGGTTGTGGGACGATGCGCAGTCGAGGCTAGGACTCGTGTAGGCCACTGCGTCATGTCGTACAGTCGGTGTTGGACGTATTTACCGACAATGACACGAACGACTTGAATGACCTTTTCTGGTTTGTGCCTGTCGTTTGGGCTTTTTTGGCACGGGACTGTAGGCAGTGTGTTTTTAGGTATTCGCCTTGACCAACAGATTCAGGCCTTGGTTTAAATTGTCCTTTAGTGTTCTCCATCGTCTAGTTTTGAAGGAAAAAGCACTTCAATCTGTGCTACTTCTGGACTCCTTACGATTTAGTCTTAAGTGCACTCTGGATTGACAAACTGATATAACCGCAAGGTTTTAGTTCATCTTCATTCATTGTAGTGCATCCCTGCTACCAGTACTGCCTGCACGGTGTCTGTAGTCTCATCGACGGGCGACCATCTTGCAGGTATGTTTTTTATCTCCTGTTCCTTTCTTGATTTTTTTTCTCTGCGTGTTTTTTCGTAGAAGTCCCCTCGACTTTGGCTCCACAAATTTGACCAGATTCTATTTTACATGACGTCACTTCTGAATCCTACATGAGTACATTTTTCCAGGAGTGAGTAAATGTACAATTTATGGGGGACCTTCCAGGAGCAGTGCATATACACCTTAAAACATGACGAATCTAAGGGGCCTTCGGTGGCAGTTTGAACCGACGTCTTGAAACTCTAATTAGCAGATATGAAGGTGGTTATTACTCTTTTTCGCAAGAATATTACGCTTACTCTGACTAGCACATATCTGAACAAATGCATTTAAAGCGTAGTGTCATTAAGAAATTGTTTAATCCGCTATGCTAAACCCGCCTGAATCATATCGGTGATTAAGCACAGTCCAGAGATTCCAAATACAGTGCGTGACCGATCTGATGAAATGTTGGCCGAAATTCTGAAGTGCGTTTTCGGTTAGAAAGGATTAGTTGAGTAGGGTTGTAATGTTTCTTATCGAGCAACATACTCCCATAGTATTTCGGACTTGCTAGAATGTCGACTTTTTGATGTACTAAGTTTTGACTTCCTATAAAAGCCATACTTGGTAAAAAATGACTACTTAAGTAGCATTTATTTTTCGGATTGATTTTCATGTTTTTATAAATTCAAATATTTGTTATGGAAAACACGCGTTAAAATATGTTTCCTTTTACTTGTTTGGTAGAAAATAGCATTGCCTTTACAGATGATACCCGAAAGAAACGTAAATTTAGGTTCAGGAAAGTTTTTCCAGTTCCCAATAATTTTTGGCCAGATCATTTGCTGCAGTACTATTTGGAGATTCCATTCTACGAGGTGCATGCATTCCGCGCATGAAAAATCATATATTCCTCTCTGCCTTTAAGAAAATACCATGTTGAGGTCATAGAATTTTGCAATGAATGTGGACTATGTTGCACATTTCACAAGGAGCATTGGTAAATGGAGATATGCGACGCTGTATCTATGGACATCGAATGGTCTTAAAAATCTCATAACTAGAAACCCTTTTTAAACCTAAATACACGCTTTGCTTGGGTAAAAAAGGTAAGGACAATGTAATTTTCTACCAAATAAGTAAAAAAGCATATTTTTGTGCGTGCTTTCCATAGCAAAATTTGAATTTATAGGACCATCGAAAACCAAAGTGAAAAATACATGCTACATAAGTAGTCATTTTTTTACGGAGTGTGGCTTCTATAGTAGGCCGAAATGGAGTGCATTCAAAAGCCGACATTTTAGCAAGTCCGAAATACTATAGGATTATGTTGCTTGATAGGCAACATTACAATCCCACCCAACTAATCCTTTCTAATCGAAAACGCATTTCAGAATTTCGGCCAACATTTCATCAGATCGGTCACGCACTTTATACTTGTTAGGCCAGTTGATAGGGCACAGTTGCTGGTACCTCCCCCCCCGCCCCCCATATTACAGGTGGCCTTGCGCTGACTTCCAGGGGGGATTCGGGTTATGACTAGGGCCACAGTTAAGACACGAAGAAAGGTGCGCACTGGAATGTGGCTGGCTGCTGGAGGGGCTCGAGAGAGACAGAGAGCCCCAAGGTATACAACTGAGCGAGTGAGTCCTGTAACGCGATCGGCTCACCAGGCGGTCATACCACAGCCAGCCTTTGAGAAGTAGGGTTCCTTGGTCATCTAACCGTTCCTTTAAACACTTGGACGGCGTCACCATCTCTAGACTGGGATCGACAAAATTCAAAAGGCATGATAGTCGGGTTTTTTGGCTTATTCTGATTGCAAGAATAGATATATGTGAGTTCAGTTTCGCCTGGTGTTTTACTTTAGAGGTCTTGGTAGCAGCTGTACAACAGCGAGCAGCTAATAACCGATAATAATTACTGAAAAAGACCGGGGAGACTGAAGGGGCATTTCGGATTTCTATGCCCTATACAGTCAGCCATAATATAACTAGGTGCTTATCGAAATCTACCCAACTGTTCAAAATGTTTTTTTAAATTCCTATCCACAATTAAGCAGCGGAAGAGCCGTGCCACTCTTTAGAATTTCATGGTACTAGGGTTCGAGCAAGACTATGCAAAAAACGTTATGCCACAACGCAGGTATCCATCATCATCATCATCATCATCATCATCATCATCATCATCATCATCATCATCATCACCACCACCAAACGACAACACCACAAACATTTTTTTGCTAGTTCGAAGACAAACAGTCCACGGTTAATGCTATTATCGTTTTCAAAATTCTATCTTAAACATTGACAGAAAAGACTTCCGAAAACTGGATGCCCTTTGGACGCAGGAATGGGGATCCCCATATCACAGGTGGCTATGCCCTGAATTCCACAGGGGGTATCTATTCCCGTAAAAAGGAAGAGTCGAGCACCGGAACACTTTGTTTATTGTCCGGAGCTTTCAGACTCGTACAGCAGTCTACTGTCAGAGGTAGTAGCAGCAACAGAACAAGCGAGAGTTATAAGGCATGTAGGCCAATCATAGACTGACGGCGCAAGACTGGAGGTGACTACGCAGGGCTCTGTACGCCGGTGCTACTACCTCTGAAGATGGACTCTTGTACTTGTCTGGAAACTCAGGACGACAAACAAAGTGTTTTGGTACTCGAGTCTTCTTCTTCACTTATTCATACACCTGGAACTCGAAATTTCACCTATCCTCGTGTCCTAACTTTGCTCCTAACCCTCCTAACGCCGATTCGTTCTGGAATAAATCTCAAGGCCAGCTGTAATGCATGGGCCCATATTCCTGTGTCTTATCTGGTAGCCCTTGCGGCTGATAGTTCGACCGTCGGTTTCGGCGATGTCCACCGTGTGTTGCACAGAAGGGCAGAGCAGGGACGGTGACTTGCGCGTGAGTCAGTTTAAAATGGTAATATACTTGCGCGGCATCCACCGCACCCTCCCCTCCTCCCCTCTGGGACCCGGTGTCAAGACAGAGCCAAAATCACCGGAGGCGGGGGGGAGGTGGATGGCACGGTCGAGCTCGCACCTTGGCGTGCCACTCCACATCCCCTAGTCCACACAACAAAAGAGCAGATTTCTGACCAACAACAGCAGCAGCAACAACAACAACGACAGCAACACCCAAACAGGGGCCAGAGCGACGAGCATGACTGGGCAGTTATGCCCACCACCTGTGTACCTAGCGGGAGCGCAAGAGCATCTACCGGCAGGGAACCAGGTTTCAGGGAATTGCCAGCACATACAAGGCTGCGAAGACCAATATACTTAATCTAACTAAACCATATCAGGAGAAGTATCACATGACATTCAAAATCCAACTACGTATGATGAGCATCTCTGAGGAAATTCATAAATTAGGACGACCATTGGGACCACATCGGACGCAGACTTCAAGCCTCGACAGCGTGTTTTGAAATTCCTTAGTACGCGATAAAACCGAAAAGTTGGCACAAAGAGTCCTAATGCTGAGAGCGCACAAAATACACCCGAGGGCAATTACGACAAAGGTGTTGGTCGTCCTTTCATAATCCTCCCAGCCAGCTAAAATAATTCGGTTTATAAATCAATAGAAACGTATAAAAAGCATCTTATTCGTTTGCCCTTAAAATTCGAAGGTAAGCAATTCCTCTTTCATTAAGACATTTTTGCATGAGGAATGACCAAATTCATTTTTCTACTACAATCGTTAGATATGAATTATAACTCCAAAAGCCTGCTCATTGCATGTGCCCTGTGATGCCCACATATTCGTCGGCCTTATTTGAAAAATACGCCGGCCACTTTTACCAACATCCAAAAACAGCAGATATGCTATCCCATGAAATTTTGATTGAAATTCTGAACTGAGTTTTCAATTCGAAAATACTTCTTGAGTAGGGTTGCTATATTAATTGTCGTGTCGCATAATGTTAGGATATTCTGGTCACGTCGGGGTGGCGGCTTCGAACAAGCTCCTTTGCGTATACAATTAAAAGAAGACGTAATTTGCTTCCGAATGAGCTAAAGATTGAATATTTTTATGCATGTTTTCCATGAAATATAATTAGACTTTTAGGGGCATCGAAAATCGCTGAGAAAAATTCATGCTGCTTAAGTAGTCATTTTCTACAGAGTGTTGATTTTGCATGCAGCCGGAAGGAAGTTCATTCGAAAGCCGGCACCTTAAGCTAACTGTAGTATTATAGGATTGTGTTGCAGGCTGAATAGGTTTACAGCCCTATTTAATTAATCTTTTCGAAATGAAAACGCATTTCGGAATCTCCGTTGAAATTTCATAAGTTATCCCACCTACTGTAGGTTGAGTCGCTAGGTAAACGCAAGTAACAGTAGGGAAAGCTAAGACTCTACTGAAGTCCCATGCAAAATTTTGCCCAAATGTGGAAGCCGACAGGTACATTTTTGCAAGACAAGACCAGCAACTACACTGAAAACGCATACGCGGGTAGGCGGAGGCCAAAAATCAGTTTTTAGACAAGCACATTCGATGTTTAAGTCGACTCGGGCAACTTTGGACCCGGATTATTGCCATCGAATCTTCCAAGTCGTCCGCACTGAGGAAGAAATATTTGTAATAAACACTACGGAATGATAGCAAAGTGAGACTAACGCGTCATTTATAGTGATGAGAATGTTAAATTAAATTCAAAAATTAATCAGCTCCAATCCCTAATGCATTACTTGGTTATACTTCATCGAAGTAACAACGACTTGTTAGGTGCCCAATGGTTACCGGTTATACTTGGGGTGCCCTTGTTCAAACCCAGGAATTTCAAACTCTAAAGGAAGTGCGGTATTAACTGTATTGCCGTTTGAGAAGTAGGAGACGCAATCCCAGGAACAAGTACTTGATTCGTTTGGCGTTTCGGATTCGCACTAGCACGCAAATTGAAGGGTCAGGTGAATAAATTTTTCGTTTCAGCGATCGGGTCTCCGTCCTCTCTACCCTATTTGGAGATAATGGCAGCTGGATTCTTTAAATACTGCAACCAGTGTGTGCGTTCAGTACCGTTATCTGCTACTGCTCCTGATGATGGCTTCGAGTGTGACTACGAAAAAGCAGGCGAGTAAACTTCTTGTTCCAGCGAACGCATTTTATTCGCCTCAAATGGTTCCTGGAACTCGACGTTTCGCTTGTATTCACACTAAGGGCGTTTGCTTTAAAAAGGTCAAAGGTGACTAAACCGGCCTCTTGTCAAAATACTGTCATCTCCGTTGTTTGATTCCCGTGAAAGGTGCATTGCTCTGTCAGCGACAGACCAATCCAGAAGAGGCATTTCGAGCCAAAGACTAGTAGTAACGATGCGGCTTTTTATCTGGACGTGCATTCTTTTCGGGCACGTAAAACGCCCATAAGGGATAACTAAAACATAAACAAAAGAAGCCGAGACCGTCATAACTTTGCATCAACACTAAACTTTCTCCTGGGTTTCCTCTATACTTTTTAACTGTTCTGTTGTCTCCCACAATAGATGTTACCACGGATACCTGGGTCGACGTTGTGAGGTACCTAGCTTTTGCTTTAGTCGCATGCAGGATGCTCTTAAAGCCACCTTTTTACAGTCAATATTTGAACTAGTGCCACCCAAGCATGTGCAAGGCCCAGCTACGTTTTTTGCCTGAAAACGTTCTTTTCCTCGACGCACTTCTCCGTGGTTTATGTAGACTCTTCTTGTCTTCAGCTGTTTCTCCCCTTACGATGGACAAAGATGTGACCTTGTTCAATCCAGTCCCAACCCGGCAGCCTTTGATAAAGTGAAAGAGCTGGAGTCAAATTGTACAGCTGGTGAGTCTTTCATGTCTCAGTAACCTACTGTGCATACATGAAGACGCGATTAAATGTTAGCTGTCGCATTTGTCCCTTTGTGCGAAATATCTCCGTTTCGCGTCAATTAAGGAGGCATTTCGCAGAAGCCTCCTAAGTTTTGAAAGGATTGTGCCGGGGTGCCAGACCAACTGGCCTCTGACAGTCTGGTCACTGTTCTTTACCTGTGCCGTGTGCTTAGACGCAAACAGAATGAGCGCGGAATGAGAGAGGCGTATTACACATGTGCGAAGAGATCAGGTCGGATCTCCTGTGAAATATCCTTTTGCGCTGCCAGAGGGAGACATTTTAGTGGGCATTGTGCAACAACGTTCTCGATTCGAGACTGGTACTTGTGAGGAAAATTACAATTTCCAAAGGGTCGTCCGAATTCTAGGACCATTGAGGAGTACTGGTACTTGGATAGTAGAAAAGCGTTTGGCTTACAATCTCGTTTCGTTATGTTGTGTATTCAAAGAGTATCTTGTATCTAAATGCCATGAGTCTGAGTAAATGCCTTCTGATGCTTCGGGATCGGTAAAAAACTGGTCCCAGAGAGCGCCTCCCCTTTTTTCTTCTTCCCTTCAAATGCCATGATATCGCATTTTTTCTGAGATTCGATATTCACATACAATCTATGTGCTAGTTCATGAAATGTTAACCGAATTTGTGAAGTGCGTACTAGACTTGTAATACTAATCACTACGCAGCATAGTCCCATGAAAATTCAGTTACTTTTCACAGTGCCGGCCTTTGAATAAATTTCTTTTAGGTCGACTGCGAGAACTACACCCTGTAAAAAAGACTGCTTTACTAGTATGAATTTTATCATTGATTGTCGATGTCTTTGTAAATCCAATTATATTTCATCGCAAACGGGCATAAAATATTCGTTCTTTTAGTCATTTTATAGAAAACTATGTTTTCTTTAAATTTTATACTTGAATGAAGGATATATTTCGGTTTTAAAAGCTTCCGATTCCCGAATAATTTTGAACTCGATCTGCCGTTGCATTTTCACTCAGAATTTCATAATTACAGACTGTATATTTTCCGTTTACTATCGTACTATATGGGCTTCGTGAAATTTAGCTATCGGAAATAGCAAGCGCTGAACTCCAGTTAACCGATTGGGCTGTGGGACATGCTCGTCTATTGTGATCTGGATGTCAATCCTGCTGGCTGCTTACTTTTCAAAGAAGGATCACATAATTTGCCTTATCTTCACATCTATGGCCACAGAACGCATTTCTGCATCAATCAGAAGCCTTATTATTCACTTACGACTTTCAAATAATACAGTGAGTGATCGATCTCATGAAATGTTGGCTGAAATTCTAAAATGTGTTTCCAATTGGGAGGGTTTACCTAGACGTGGTTGTAATGCTGATAAACTTGCGACATAATCCTGTAATATTTCAGACTCGGCAGGGTGTCAGCTTTTGAATGCATTGCTTTTTAACATCTTGAAGAAACCGACCTCAGTAAAAGATGACTAATTAAATACCACGCATTTTTACATTCATTTTCGATGGGCTTGTAAATTCAAATATATTGAATAGGAACCACAAACAAAAATATACTTTCTTTCAGTCGTTTGGGAGAGTATCACGTGATCTTTATATTTTATACTCGATGAAGGAATATGATTAGGTTTTAAAGAAGTTTCTAACTAGAAGATTTTAAGACCGTGCAATGTCTATTAACACAGCATCGTGCCTGTCTGTTTGCCACTGCTCCTCATGAAATGTCCAACATGGTCCTCATCCACTGCAAAATTTTATAGACTACTTATGTTATCTTTTTAAAAACATAGATGAATGTGTGATTTTCTTTACGCGGAAGGCATGTACCTTGCAGACTGAAATCCCTAAGCGCTAATGCAACGACTGATCAGGCTCCAAATTATTCGGGAATTAGAAAACTTTTTCATAACCTAATCATGGTATTTACGTAGTCATCTTTTACCGAGTTCGGTTGCTACAATATGTTAAAAAGCAGTGCATTCCAAAGCTGACACCCTGCCGAATCCGAAATATTATAGGATTGTGTCGTAAGTTAATCAGCATTCCAACCACGCCTAAGTAATCCCTTCCAATTTAAAACGCATTTCAGAATTTCAGCCAACATTTCATGAGCTCGGTCACTCACTGTACGTTTCCATACGGCAGGTAGTTCTCTACTACATAGCAGTCTGCACACAGCCTCAAATCAGACAATTTTGGACGGTACTACTGGAAATAAGACACCGCGAAAAGCACGCAAAACGTTAACGACTGTTTCCTGGTGTTAAGTACCGTTTAGTACTCTCCCTTGTCCAATGCGGACTTCGATCACCCACAGCGTAGTCAGGCTCGAACGCCCAATTCTACGTGACGGCCGGCTGCCCGGACGTATATGCATTGAAAAATTTAGTTTAAATCGGTGAGGCGTGAAAAGAGGGCCAGTTAAGTACTCTGCAGGGACGTCTTGTATATTTACCAAAAGTAGGCTCCAAGGGTGACTACGAGCAAAAGTTGTTGAGGGCAGTCCTGAAAAATTCAGGGCAGTTTCCGCGAGTTGATTTTGGATAGTCTCCAGAGAAATTGAAAAAATATTCCAAGCTCGGTGACGAAATGGTTAAAACAAGAGTTATTTTTAGTAAGTCGAAAACGACGTTTATTCGAACTGGCAGTGATCGATTGCCTTGAATGAATGAACTGCACAGAATTCACTCCTAAATTTCAGGCATTATACCTACGTAAATATTTAAGAGCTCAAGTCCGGCAAACGTACGCTTTCGATTATTCATCATCAGACCTGTGCAGTGCTAGAAGGAAGGGCCGAGTAGCGCCTGATTGAACCAGACTCTGACCCCCAACATCCGAAAGTCCCTCAACCCTCTCCCACAAACCGACTTTTATTGGCCGTTTACCTTATGCTACTTTGCCTTCCCCCCCCCCTCTGATGTTACTGTGCAGGCCTGATGACGAGTAATCGAAAGCGTACATTCGCGGGACTTGACTTTTTAAATGCGTTGTTTGCAGCAAAACAACAGTAATAATAACGAGTTTCTCATATCGCAGGGGAGACCGAATTAGTTGGACGGTGTTCATCGTGGCGAAGTGCGTAAAAGTAGCTCAGAGGCCAGTCGCGGCAACTGTTGCCGTGTGCCGATAGTCGGTTATAGTAGTCCTGAGGGCGCGAGGTGTAAGTGAAGGTCTGAGTTGTGCTCGCCAAGTGGGGCCAATCAGCGGAAAGCGCAGTAGCAGTCGGTGCCACCCTGTCATCACTCAGGCTGGGCTGAGTCAGGCGTGGCGCCACCTTCCACTGATATGGCCCATAGATCAGCAAGCAGGAGTGTTCCCCTCTGCGAAAGTAGCAGACTGTCCCACGCCCGATGGTTCGACCGCCGCAAATGGCCATGTTCCCCGCAGCCCTGCAAGGCGAACCTGGCAGCAGTGACTTGCGCGTGAATTAGTTTATGGCGAAGCAGACTTTCGCAGCTCAGTCCCCTCCCTCACTCATCTTGCCCGATGGCAGGACAAAGTCAGAACTAGCAAGGCGTACTAACCGAACCAACGTGCGCTGTGGATAAACAGGTAGGCTCACGATTGCGAGAGGGGATGGCCACATTCTCCCAAGTCATTTTAAAGACAGCTGGAGTCTCGACGGTTTCAGTAAAGGTATTCTGCAGACCGCTCGAGTTTAATTAGGCTAAATGCGTTCCATATAGGTACAGCAGGTGAGCTAACTCATGAAATGTCAACAGAAATGTCGAAATGCGTTTCCGTTTCGAAAAGATTAATTAAGTAGGGTTGCAAAACCAATCAATTCGCTGCAAAATTATGTAATAATTTAGTTACCCCAGTACGCTTTTGAACAAGCTTCTTTTCGGCTGCATGCAAAAACTACACTCTGTAAAAAATGACTATTTAAGTAGCATGAATTTTTCACTCATTTTCGATTACCTTAAAGATTCAATTAAATCTCATGGAAAACGGGCATAAAAATGTTGATTCTTTTGCTCATTCAGTAGCAAATTACGTCTTTTTTCAATTTTACGCTCGAAGGATGGGTATAATTCGTTTTAAAAATTTTTATAATTGTGAGATTTTTTAATACCGTGAAATGGCCCTTCATAAAACACCATGTCTCTGCACTTACCAATGTGGCTCGTAAAATAAAAAATGTGGCTCAAATCCACTGCTTAATTTTATGAACTCTATATGGTCCCCCTTTAGAACCGTAGAGAAATGTATGGTTTTCCATACGCGGAAGTTATACGGCTTGTAGATTGGGAACCCTGAATACAAGTGTAGCGGCAGGGTGGGTTCAAAATTATTCGAGAATTGAACAAGTTTTGTAAAACCACATTATACCCTTTCTTCGAGTGTAAAATTGAACGAAAACGTAATTTTCTATTGAATGAGCAAAAGAATGAATCTTTTATGCATGCTTTCCATGAAATATAATTGAATCTTTAAGGGCATCGAAAATCAATGAAAAGAATGCATGCCACTTAAGTAGTCATATTTACGAAGTGTGGTTTTTGGATGCAGCCATAAGGGATTTTGTTTGAAAGACGGCGTTCTGCGGTAACTGAACAATCGCATAATTATGCAGTACGATGATTGGCTTTGTGACCGTGCTTAATTAATCTTTTCAAAACGGAAACGCATTTCGGAATTTCTGTTGAGATTTCATGAGTTAGCCCACTTACTGTAACTCTTATTTTTAGACTAGATATGAATGCCTTCTCCTGTCTGCTAATAGTTTTGGTTTTTTCCTGAGTAAACTTGATATTTGAACAGTTTTTCCTCGCTGAAGGAGGTTTTTAGTTCACATCATAAAGTAACACATCTTAGACTGCTTCCGATTACGCGTCTGCTCGTTGGCCCTCAATAACAGACTAATATCTGACCCTTCGCAGAAATCGACTTTTCCTCCTCTAAATGTGTGTTTGAGCGTTTTGTCCCTAAAACGGGTCCCGCAGTAGATGAGCTGAACTAACGCGGGGGCTAGATTGCAGTCCGACAGGCGTTGTCGGAAATGCGCACCCATAATAAATGTCAACGTTCGGGCTGGCCCAGTTGCAGGCGCACGTCGTGCCAGTGGGGATCCGAACCGTCCCCCTCCCTTTTTTTCTCGTTGTGTAAAATCCTGGTCGGTTGTACGTGGTGGCTAGTACTTGTACTTGTACTTGATGCGGCTGCGATCATGCCTGATCTAGCCGGCCTCGATGATGTCCCGAATTGTACCTCTCCACGCGTGACGATCCGCGGCAGCAGATCTAGACAGCTCAACCCATTCCCTTCGCCAACGACGGAGACCGAATACCGAAGGTCCAAGAACCATCTCCATGTCTTGACGGACAGTGTCGAGCCAGGTTTTGAACTGACCCCCTCTTCGACGCCTCCAATGGGGCAACGGTGCCGGATCGAGGGCAGTAACACTGAGCTCCTGAGGTGGACGACGAAGAACATGCCCGAACCACCTCAGTCGTCTTTCTTGGATGGCCTGAGTTATCCTCGCGATGTTGTCGCAGCGAGCGCGGACTATCTCATTTGAGACGAAGTCGGTTAACTTCACTCGAAGGATGATCCTCAAGCAGTGGTGGTCAAATACCTCAAGTTTTCGCTCATCCGCCACGCGCAAAGCCCAGCATTCGCAACCGTAGAGAAGGACAGACCGGACAAATGCACGGTACACGCGAATCTTAGTGGCGATGGAGAGGTCACGTCGGTTCCACAGGCATTTCCGAAGGCTTGAAAAAACCCAGCGGGCAGCATCGATTCGGGAGACAATGTCGTCCTTACTCTGTCCATTAGGCAGCAGCCGCGCCCCGAGGTATTTAAAACTGTCCACTTCTTCAAGTTGACAGCCATCAATCCCCAGGGGTGCCTTCTCCTGGTCAGGGATGCAGCTTGAGAATACTTTGGTCTTCCCAGCGTTTATGGACAAACCGACTGCTTTGGCGACCTCGTTCACTCGTGACACCATAGACTGCAGATCACCAAAACTTGAAGCAAGTACGGCGATATCATCGGCATAGTCGAGATCAGTCAGTCGATGTCCGGGTGCAAATTCAACACCGTCACTGTCGCGTAGGGCCCTCCCGAGGATCCAGTCAATAGCGTAGTTGAACAGTATGGGTGACAGGATACAACCCTGTCGGACGCCAGACTGAATACCGAACGGTTGGGAAAAATTGTTACGGACCAGGACTCTCGCAGTAGTGGAACGATAGTAGGCCTTGATCATGGCAATGATTTTGACCGGTACACCATCTAGCGCCATTATCCGCCACAGGGACTCACGGTGAACGGAATCGAACGCGGCGGCAAAGTCAACGAAGCAGACGGCCGTCGGTTGTTGGTAGCTATGGCGAAATTCGAGAATGCGCCTCAGTGTGAATATCTGATCTGCGCATCCACGTCCTCAGTGTGAATATCTGATCTGCGCATCCACGTCCAGCACGAAATCCGGCTTGGTTGGGCCTCGTCCTTGAGTCACGCACAGCCTGGAATCGTCTGAGTAGGACAATAGCGAAGATCTTCGCAGCAACGTCGATGAGACTTATGCCGCGGTAGTTCTCGCATCTCGTCTTATCTCCCTTCTTGAGGATAGGTACAAGGATGCCTAAGCCCCAGTCATCAGGAACAACCTCGTCTCTCCACGCTCGTTCAATCACCTCATGGAGCCAGGGCGCCAGAGTGTCGACACAAGACTTAAAGATTTCAGCGGGTATACCGTCCTCTCCGGGTGCCTTATTGTTGCGCAACTTTCGTATGGTATGTGCGACTTCTTCCTCGGAGGGGGGACCGCATGGCACTGCATAGGTAGGAGAGGGAAGAAACTCCGCTGAGGAGGAGAACAAGGGCGATGTAGGTTGGGTATCGAAGTTGAGATGGTGCTCAAAGTGCTCACGCCAGCGCTCGACTTTGGCCGAGTTGTCAGCAATAAAGCCACAGTTCACATCGCGAACAGAGTCACTCAGTGTAGAGGGCTTACCGCTAACTTGGCGGATCAGACGATAGAGCTTTCGAGTGTCACCAACGTTCGAGGCCTGTTCCATGGATGTCGCTATTTCAGCCCAATATTGTTTCCGGTCATCCCTGGCCGATTTTGCCGTCATCTTCCGAAGTTGGCGGAAGTAGTCATCGTTGCGGGACCTGGCTCTAGCCGTCTGAGCAGACAACTGCAGGGTTCTTCCGCTGATCCAATCACTGCGGCGTCGCTGGGTGTATCCAAGGATTTTCTCAGCTGCCCCATAGACTGATGTCTTCAGTGACGACCACTGGTTACCGACTTCTCCGTCGACTCGGGCCGTAAAACAGGTCCGGATTTCTCTGCTTAGGGCCTCGGCAGTGCTGGCTTGCCGGATTTTTGCGACATTGAGGCGTCTAGGACGTGGCATTTTTGGTGCGGATGAGAGGTGAACTTTCAGGCGTGTACGGACGAGGACATGGTCCGATCCATGGGCGTTACCAGTCTCGGCACCACGCATCGATCTGCTATCGTGAACCCAGCTGCGGAACCTTGAGCTGACTAGTATGTAGTCGATCTGACTTGCCGTACGACCGTCGTTTGAATACCAGGTCAGCAGATGTTTTTTGCGATGCTGGAAGCATGTGTTGGTGACAAGCAGTCGGTTTCGATCAGCGAAGTTCAGCAATCTCTCACCATTTTCACATCGAGAACCAAGCCCAAAGCGGCCAAGATGACTGGTTGTGGGGTCGCCAGGTCCAGTTCGACCATTCCAATCGCCAGCAACAATCAGCAGATCGCGGCGAGGCAGTCTTTCAACTAGCGCTTGCAACTGAGAGTAAAACGCCTCTTTATGGCGCTGTTCCGCAGCCGAAGTTGGTGCGTACACAGCGACGATGGAGATGTTCGTGAAGTGACCCTTCAATCGCACGTAAGCCATCCGGTCATTTACTGGTTCCCAAGCAAGTAGCGCAAGCTCCGCTTGTTGTGATAAGGCGATCGCCACACCGTGTCGACCAGAGGAATCGCGGGGGCCGCTGTGGTACAGTGTGAAGTGGGATTCGACTCCAGGGATCTTTATTTCACGAGAGCCCGAGTCAGGAAGTCGTACCTCAGACAGACAGCAGACATCCACGTTGTACTGATGAAGGCTGCGTGCGGTCAGACTTTGGGTACCAGGGTCCAGGAACGTTCGTACATTCCAGCATCCAATACCGAGAGTCCGTCCACGATTGAGTAGTCCAGCTCGCATAATATTAGCCCGCACCACTGGACTAGGGTTGCGGAGCGCGTCGGTTCCCGCGGACGCCGTAGCATGAGTCGTAGTACTGTTATTGGACATGTTGCATGAGGTTTCTTGGGAATTTCGAATACGGGCGGGTCCCCAACAGCCGCTCGGATTGTTTGTTCGAGGTTGTCTCCTCTAGCGCTTTGGCTTAAAAACCTAACCACAAGGCAGCGGTGGCAAGTAAACTTATTTAATGGCGGTTTACGGTCGCCATGTCACAATGCTGTCATTGGGCTTTGCGGCATTTTGTGAGGCTTTCAGCGTGCCAGACTTCAGCCCACCGCACCCTGGTAGCAATGTCGCTGCTGGTCCGCGACTGCTTATTCGTCAGACCTGGGTCTGCTTATTTCGCAGCTAACCTTCACTGAAGGTCGTCCCACTATCCGCCACCTGTGGACACGCCGGGTAGCCAGCAGCTAGGCTAACGGGCAACCCGTCTTCCCGGGGCAACCCGTCTTCCCGGCGTGGTGGCTAGGTGAGGCTTTTTCGTCACTTGCGCCCTCGCCCACCGCCGGTCTTCCTGAATCTGTCGTGCCCCGCCCACGTAGGTGAGGAGGGGGGGGGGGGTGCGGTGGATGCACCACGAGTCTACTATCACTACAAAAGAAGTCGTTTGTAGGTCACCGTCCCTGGCCCCGACCTGTTGTGGATCATACAGTGGACATCGGCGGTCATGACGGCTGAACACATTACATAATCTGTATCTCCAAGCGACCACAGGTTTGGCAGGCCAGACTGTAATGACACGCAAAGACTGCGAACTCCAGTATGCTGAATCCTATACGACTGTTCTAACTATAGGCAACTTTTCTGTGTAATTATGTTTCATTTTTTGTCTACATCTTAGTTTCGGCCCATTTATTTTTAGGAGGCGGCATTTTCTTCGGGCGCTTCGTTTTATTTTCAACTTTTGGAGCCCTCACCTCCCTTCTTGTTCTCCTACTGCTGTGCCTGTTTGTGAAGAAACATGCGTAAGTTTCGCGTTTTCCATAAACAAATCAAATTCCAGCCTCCGAGCCTAAAACACGAGTAGGGCACAGTAATATGGGCCTCTTCGAACTACAGGTGATCTTGAGCTAAGTTCCAGGGGGTTTGAGTTAGAGCTAATGCTTAACTTACAAGCACATGCATGAGTTAGGTCTGATTTAAGAAGCCCGGCATAAAACAAATAATCATCTCGGTTCCCAAAAAATCCTCAAAAATCTGTTTTGAGTCATCCTGTCCCAAAGGTCTGAGTCTTGAGCCTTCTGACTAACGAAAATGGACTTTTTTTATCTTTCACTCTCCCCAAGGCAACATTTTGGCCAAAAAACTCGGCAACTCCTCAAGTGGCGATCAATGTGATGATTTAAGACGTCCTTTTCAATCCTGCAGCCCCTTCTAGATTGAAAGATAGGGAGGGCTTCATGAGCTGTGAGGGAATTTTAAATTAATTTGCTTACTCAAATGTGGCAGAAATCGCTGAAGCAAACCTGGCCTTATTTGCATACGAATATACTGGCTCAAAACTTTTCTCCCTCCGTCCATTATACATTTTGAAGGGAGGCACCGATTCTATAAAATTAATAACTTAACTTATTTGACTTCGTTTTTAAGAAGTTTGCAATCATAGAAATCTGACTCTCAAGCAAGTTTCCTCACTGAAACGGGATGCCCAGACCTAGGCAGGGCTAATCCCAGAACTGTCTTGAAGAAGCAGGACTAATATTTCGAAAGAGAACTTATGCACTTTTTGATTCCACCATTCTTTGCATGTCTTTAATGGCCAGAAAATTCATTATAAGGGTCAGCAGTTCTTGTACTACTTACAGGGGTCGGTTACGACTCCTTGGTCCCTAGTGTAAGCGCCATGTGGGCATTGTAAGCAAGGCAATCCGAAGGAGGATGTAGAAATAGCAACAGACTGCCGGGCTGGTGAGTCAGTAAGACAAACTTGATGAAGGGAGGTTTAGCAGAGATCCGGAGCGCTGGAAAGAGTCCGAGGTGTGTTCAGGTTTCGATGTTGATCGGCTGATCAATAAATGGCATCGGTGATTTTTGTGAACAAGACGGGCTGTTGAAAAGTCTAGCTGCTGACGCATGTGGACAGAAAGACTACGCAATATCACAACCGCAGAACGCCTGGGCAGACAATTTCTCTCACCTTCACGAATAAACCAATTTTCGCCTCTCAATACAACCTCAACTAATAGGTACTAGTGTTTCGACATGCGAACCCTCACATCTCATCTTGATGAGCTATTGATGTACGACTGTCTAGTGACGCCAAGGATGCCCTAAATGGTTACTCAAGTCTCCCAGACATTCCTATTCTTCAAAACCCAGTCCTATAGCAAAGATGGTTATTTTATCAAGAGGTAATACTGACGAAAAATGCGGAGACTGAACTGGTCATTTCTGACTTAACTGCTGCCATCGGCCTGCCATATTTCACTTAACAGGAGTAAGAACTCAATGTTTTCGCATGATATCAGTTGACCGTTGAGTCCGAGGCTCTGCTACCTGATTTTGGACCCACATTCTGTCGTCACAACTAAACGACCATTAGAGATTCTCGACTGAACTCAATCTAACAATTACTTATGCAGAAGCGGTATTCGTCATCCTTTTAACTTAATACCTCTGCCGTTGAGTGCAATCCCGAAAATGAAAAATTGCGGTTATTTTTTTTGTTTTTCTCAAGAAATCGACCCCATCAGAAGACACAAGCAGTCAACCTTTCGACTCAAAAAATCGACATTAGAGTAAGTGAAATTTTCTTCATAACGCACGCAGAAGAAAAACCTATACCAGGGAGACATAACTTGTCATCTCTAGGGAGTTAAATTGACTTGGAAGCTGCTAACCCGGCCTGATAGTCGTCGCTCTCTTTCAACCCTGATTAAAAACAATGCTTTCATGCAGCAAACTTATACCTTAGTATTATGACTAGTTAACTTAGAAAACCCATTTCCTTCCTGTTATTTTTGGGGGTTTGGCCACTTATAACCGTGAGGTTTTGTACTTCATGTCTTGCATGTGTTCAAAATGTCGATAAGATGGTGCAGTAGGACGGTGAGCACATGAGGTAGGAGAGTCAACCGAAGAAAATATTTCATGTTAAAACATGGGGCAATGCGGGACGTCTGGTCGTTATGAGAGGCTAAGAAGAGTGGCGCAGTCAGACACCCTTTTACGTCATGAAGTAAGGAAAGTTTACATGCAGCACTGCAAATCCGCTAGAAGTCTGAGTCCGTAATTAAGCGGCAGGCGAATTAACAAGCAAGAAAAAAATATGTCATAACTGACCGTTGGCGCAGAGGTAGTAAATGAATATTTGGAAACTCTAATGCTTATAACACTCAGGATTACTTAGAAGACGTCAGTATGTTAGCAGATGGTATATGGAAGTATTCCTGGCAGTCTTCATCGCACTGACAAGTAAGAAATCCGTTACTGCGCCCATTTTCATGAGCGTAACATTAGTACTTTCGTCAATAGCTTTCAGCTGGCAGATGGCATTCCCTGCCAGACAACCTTATCCCACCTGTGATTTACTACAGAGTTTTTTTAGTCCTCATGGGCTGGACTTCAACTGCCAATTTTTAACAGTTATGTAAAACTCAGCGGTCTCGGCAAGATTCGGACCCGCTACAGAAAGGACAAGATTTGAGTGCAGCTAAAGCGCTAACCGCCCAGGCTAAAAGGTCCCAATCAGGAATCTTGCGATTTTTTAAATTTTGGCTGAGCTACGCGCCTTGTAGTTCGCGCGGTTTCAGCATCCGCTCTGCTGAAGTCTTGTTCTTTATGTAGAAAGTTCGAGTCCTAACAAGGCCTCAGATTTTTCACAAGTACTATTTGGGGCAAGTTAGTCACAGTTGCCACAAAAAAACAACGCATGTGCTACTGACAGACGAATTAATGAACTCCCAGCACAGTGGCTTGAAGCGGTATCGGACGTAGCATTCGGGAGCGATCGAGGGGGGGAGGGGGTGTGTTGGACAGGCCACCTGCCCAGATTTAAAAAGAAACATTCTAGCAGGAAGGCAATCAAAAACTATCAAGAATTTGCTTGCTCGACGAGAGCCCTGTCTCCGTGACTTGGGGCGCCTGGGTCTAAGCTCCATGATGTACATTATTGGAATAAATAAGTTTATAGGGATGTTTGTCGTTTTGCTTAGGGCTTATAGTGAATTGTTAATGTTACCTTGTCTCCTTATTGTGTACAGCATTCAAGTGATGCCTTCAACCGCTTGCGTACTCAGAGTACTGAATCAGTCACCGAACCAGATGGCATAGTAACCCAAACTGTGCCGGACGGGACCGTTGCGCAGGGCAGCAACGTGCAAGCCCGACTAACATGCTGTTTCTGCCTCCCACGACGTCTCCTCCCACAGTCGGAACGTTTGGGTTTCCCGTCTGTGAATCGACGGAAGTTGGCAACGAAGGACAAAGGAGTTAGACAGCTGATTGGTCAAACACTCAACCCCTACGTGTGCGCGCCCTCCGCAGAACTGCAGTATGAACTTGGGCAGCCACCACACCAACATCAGACGTGGGGCTGGCCGGAAGAGACAGGCTACAGAACCCACGTTCACCAATGTCACCACGACTACCAGCAGTGCGGGCAAACCCACCAGGCTTTGCAGCCCCTGACCAGCCCTCGTGCCATGGACTGCGAGGTCTCCACTCTTGCGGTGACCCATGCCGGTGGCTGGATGCCATCTGAACTGCAGGCGCCGGGAGTGCAGGGGCTCCATCTACGAAACAGCTGGGATGGCCTGGCAGAGGGTTTGCAGTTCTCGTCAGTTGTGCCCGTTCCTCTACCTGTCTCTGCTGGCAGTTCGCCAAAAAGACGACAAGAGTATGTGCTGGGGACCGCGACAGCGACGAGTTCACCTGCAGCACTATCGCTCTTGCCTCTCGGTGGGACTTCCTATACGCCTCCTGCCTCCGGTCTGCCTGTGGATGGCCAGAAGCTTTGCGAGTTGGTTCGTTTGCAAAAGATCTTTCAATGCGGCCTTCCTTCTAGCTCAGGGATCTCTAAGTAAATGGAGAAAAGACTGGTCTGCGTGGAGGACATCGAGCTCTTTTACCGTTGATGGTTTCTTCTTCGTCCTCTTCTACTAGCTTCCGTGTTGTCTTCCTACCACTCTTAGCATTTACAGCGAAGACACGTCTTTCCTCGCTGTGATCTCGTGCGTGTCACTGTGTACTCTTGGTTTCGTTCAACCTATTCATCTCTACAAACCGGCCCCGCACTCCCGGGCCTAGACATTCCAGTCAATCTGTACGGGAATCATTAGCTGCCGCGTGGAAACTGACAGTCAAACAGGCATTTACACGTGATGGAGGCTTCACACAACTTGCACGGAGAGTGTGGGAGCAGCGTTCACACTCCTTGTCTCTCCCCACAAACTCTTAATGTGGTCTGTAACAAGTATGAATTCCTCACTGGGGTCTCTCACTCTATCCCGCGTTATTTTGCCTAATTGAACCTGCTCCCCCCGCTTGATCCCTGCCCCCTTCCCTCTCCCCCGTCCCCACTTTCCTCTTTTAACTTCACCAGCTCTGCGTCGACATGTGTTTTTCAACACCCTACAGATTTCAATGACAACTTTTGGACGCTCAAAGAATGAATTTGCACAGTTATACTTCTGGAATTTGCTCTTGCTGATTCCAAAGTTAAGCCAAATCTTTCCGGAACCCGTAGCTACCCAAAAGAGACTTATTCAGAAGTCTTACACCCCCACGGAGCTAACTTCGAATCAAGCAACTGCAATGAGTGTAGCAGTGATTAAGCGAGCTCAATTTGCCCGCCAGCTGTAGTTGCAGCATATGTCGGTCAAACACGAACACATGAACACAGCTCATTTGGCTAGGTTGTGAGAGAAGGGGATGCGGTGCGACGAAGGGGAGAAGGAGTGACACAACGTACATGAACGAGTTGCTCGCTGATCGGTTGTTTTGACATTCTAGCTGGATTGTGCGTGTTAAGGGAACAACCGCCTGTACGGATTTGGTCCATTCCTACATGTTATTGCAGCATCTGAGTCGCGTAGGTGGGTGGGGAGCCTAATCGTTAGCCCTGAAACAAGTTTTGGCTAGTGTGAGGCGAGTGCTTTGTAATCAGACCTTCTGGAATTCCGCATTCCGCTTTCAATAGCCACTTTGGCACGTGTTCAACGGATCGGGCTAGCAATTACCTTCGAATGCAGGATTTACATGTGAACTCAAAAGTGCGGCTGAAGGTTGCACGCATGGACAGTGTCTCTTTAATTAGTCATACATGGATGGTCATTTCTGAACTCATAGCTATAGGGTTGACGCCGCAGACTGTCCCTTCGGTCATGCCACAAAGTTTTCAGTTAATTCTACCGAATACTAAAACGCAAATTTCCACGACTTTCGCTGAAATTGACATTGTTGATTTCGCGTCTCGCGGGTGGCCATATTTATGCATAAATAACTCGTCGTAAAAATTACCCGTTTCTGGTGTCATTAAGAAAATTGATAAGGTCCATTATCCACCCAGCGGAAAATATGGTAGTAGTGTTGCTGAAGAGACCAAACGCTGAGTTTCTTTCCTCCTTACTGGAAGTAAAGCTTGCAGACGTACCGCTCTCTCCAGCTAGAATTGCGATGTACTTACCTATGTTATTTTTTCGTCTTTCTTCCGCAACATCGAAGAAATTCATCTTCCTGTGTGCACAATCTTTTGTTAGTCACTACCACATCACCATGGTGTAGGCTACCTCTTAGCAAATCAAAAATTATCATGAATCCTGAGCTTGTTAGCATAAGACCTAGCAGAAGACGTTCACTATGATTTAGTTAAATTAAGTTTTTAGCTTTTCTTTGTTTGGCTTTTCTGCATAACTGTGCATCGGATGACAATCTGAATTTTTGTGAGTAGGGAAAAAGAGGGTTGACGTAGCACCGTAACCATTTAGTTATTTTTTCTGATCTTTCGCATTTGTGCAGTGGTCTATCTTCACAGATAATAGCAGCAATAGATGGGGATATTAGCCAATCAACGACAGCAACGATCGGGTGAAGGATCTCAAACACACACACACACGATCAGCCAAACGTGCCTGCCTAACAGGAAAGGTGGCAATAGCGGTTTTACGCGCGGGACCTATGCATGCACAGCGGAATGGCAAAATAAATATGAATAATTGGTAAATTTGTTTTTCGGACTGAAAAGTTTTAATGCACTGACATATAGCTACCGAAATTAAGCAGGACAATTAAAAAATAAACACTAAGCGTCTATAGCGATCGTTTCTCAACTCTCTGAGCTGAGGTCATTGTAGATAATCCACCAGACTGTCAACAACAGACGACCCAACCTTGTACTATGAAACACCAAACCGAAATAATTGTTTCGGGCTAACACCCACTCAAATAAGTATGTATAGTAGGCATTATTTGTATGCCACAGATGTTTGGGAGTCGTCACCAGATCCTTACCTCGACGACTACTGTTGCAGGTCTTAAGGTGACTGCGCGTGGCTCGGTGTGGTGGCGCCAGATCGATACATCTATTGACTGAGTTCTCATCCGAGACACAGACTGAAATTAACTCTCAGCTTGTACTGTTTTCGGTGTTGGCAATTATTTTAACGATCCGCTTCGAAGGCGTAGGCAGCCACTTGTGGTGATTCGTCACCCCGTCGCAAGGCCAGCTTATGTTCGTGCATGTCGCCTCAAGCATGCGTTCAGTCCGGCCCATATAATTACAAGGGCAGTTTTGACACGGGATACGATGCACTACCCCAGGCTGCTCCCCGCAATTTATTCAGCCTCTAACTCTCATGACCCTTTTGTGCATGGCAGCTTTGGGTCGGCGTGCAATGCCAGCACCTATGCTGCAGCAATGCGTTCGGTCACCTCGAAAACGTCCTTTGCAGCGGCCAAGCTAATCGTCCACGTCGGAGAAAAAAGAAGCCGAGAGTCGCTTGAGGCCGGGATCTTGGATAAAACTCAGTCAGCCGACTATCGATCTGGCGTTGACACACAGAGCCACGCCCAATCACCTCCAGACCCGCTACAACTGCGGACAACGTGGCAGGATGGGAAGCAAACCGCTACACCAGCTTCGTCGCTACAACGAAGCCCTTTGACGCAGTGAATCGAGATGGATTCTGGAAAGTCCTGCCGAACTATGCACGTCCCGCACGATTAACTCGAACGGTAAGACTACTTCGCAACTGGATGATGGTTTACGTCTCGGGCAACGGTCCAATCTCTGGAGCATTCACGGTGGCCAATGAGATAAACTAGATCTTTGTACCCAGTCCGCTCTGTCGAAAGAAGCGAATAGGCGAGTTCTAGGAACCAGTTCAAAAGAAGGAGATGCCATAACTGGATCAAGAAGTTTTTCAGCCTAACTTTTCGGACCCTCATTCAAACCGGTCATCAAAGACGGGCGTAAACGGGCTTCTGCGGCTCTGTCAGCCACTGCGTCCAATCCCAGCACCGAATAACTTACAGGCTCGGACAGTCAACCAATTCTCGGAGGAGGGAAAAGAGAATGACGCCGACTCTGGGGAATTCCTCCCCGCGACGCCATGTTCTGGCTGTAACACCTAGATGGTGGCCGTTCTATAGCTCTCCGCGATCGAATCCCCAAAATGCGAACTCAACAGCAAGCTTGGGAGAACGTGAAGTCTGTTGCCGAGATCCTAACAGCAAAACTCTGGTGATCAAAGGCACATACAGAAATGTCCAAGCTCGGCCGAGAATAAAGCTAACCAGGTTATGCCCTTGAGCTGTTACCATGAGGACTGGGTTTCTAACTCATTTGAGTGGCTGGGCTTCCCTCCAGCCCTGCCAGTGGCTGGCGTGATATGAAAACGCGCAGGCCGTGTAGGCGGGTCGATAGGACGGCGTGTGAGCGCATTGTTAGGGCAGCTCCTCTTAACTTTCAGCACATCAGCGCAATCCTGATTATAACAAATCTGATGCACTTGGGAATTATCACCACGTCATGGTTTGGAAGCCTGCCAATTAACTAGATAAAGCTGTCCTCGTGATCAGGCCTTTGTGTTTACTCCCGCTAACTGGCTCGGGAACTGGAAATCAGGTTCAGTGGCTTCTTATTAATTTGGCCGCTGTGGCATTCTCACGAACGTGAGCTCCGAATTCCCCTTTCTCTGATAACCCAGCACATTGTGCAGGAACCATTTTGTGTGTGTAGCACGCGTACACGGTGTGTCCGGCTTTGTAAGCCACCGCGCCCGTGCCCATAACCGGCCGTCTTATCATTTCACTACCATCAAAGCTTGGTGGGTGCAATAGGTGCTGAGCAAGTATGACGTTCCGTGAACTAATTCACTCCAGAGTTACCGGTGCTGCGTCAACCCCGTGGGACACACCTTCGACGACGTCGGCCGAACCCCCCGGGCCAAAAGAAGTTAACCACTCCTCATGCTGTTTAAAGACTACCGTACTGCATTTAACCCGGACTGTTATAAAAGCCACGTCCGATAGTTCAGTCATCGCAGCCAGCGAACCCCAGAAGGTGGCCACAACCATAATTTGTGGATAAATTCCTTCTTGATGAAATGGGTTTGTGTTACGTCTACTTCAGTTTGCCATACCACACACACCCCATTCCGACCACAGGTTAGAACAAACAGAGGTGGGGGTGGGTTCGGTGAGAGACAAAGCTAAACAGCCCGTCCACGTGTGCCAAACACGGTGTGGTCTCTAACTTCGCACACACACCAAGCTCCGTTCAGTGGCGCGTCTAGGATCTCACGCGAGTGAGTGTGGCATTAAAAGTGGTCCGTTGCAGTCTGTTCCTTGTTTCTTAGAATATCGATTTCGCCCGTTGTACGGCAACCGTCTAAGCTACGTTTGACAGCGTGTCGTGGGAGTTTCGATTCACATTTGATTGTTTTCACTGCTGAATCCCAGCTGAATCACTGCTGGTCTCTTTTCCCACTCCAGTGTTCTTGTGGCCTACCACAGTCAAGCCGACTTGGAATAAGAGTGTGCGCAATGACTAGGGTGACGTGAAGTCGTCGTCTTTTGCCTGCCCCACAGGGGATTGGATCTCACAGACGTGACCGGTTCCATCAAGGTCATGTTAAGAAGACACTGCTGTGCGGTCCCTGACTCAGAAAAGGATATAGTTGTTTTGTCATCAAGCGGAATACCTGCTCACGACGTTTGGTGCACCATTATGGGCCTAACCGCAAAAGATTCATTAGAGGAACGGGCTGATTTGCTATGAGCATAGACCCTTCAGTATCGTCTCCGCTTCCTCCTCCTCCTCCTCCTCCTCCTCCTCCGCCTCCTCCTCCTCCTCCTCCTCCTCTCCTACGAACACTTGAGCCATGTGGCAACGGAGAATGAGGCTGGGTGCATTGAATAACGAACAGTGAGCCTCCGTCTAATGCTTACCAAATGCGTTTATGGCAGAAGTTGAGGGCTCAATAAGATTCAGGGCAGCCCGACTGATGCGCTCATGAACCACTTTAACTCCATTTTTGTTCAACACACCTGAACTAGCACAGCCAAATCGTAAAAGAGTGCCTAGGGACTGTTTCGAGCTGAACAAGACCTGCAAACTTTTAAGACACCACTAAATAATGCCTCTTTCGCAGTTTCTGCCCTGTCCAGATTCGCTCTGGCAAAAAAATATTTTAAATCCCTTACCCTCGCTCGTAAATCCCCCCATTATGCGACCGCCCGTAATAACCTTAGCATGACCCCAAAACCGGGTTGTGCCGTATCATTAGACCGAAACGGATATATTACGGCCAGCGACACGCTTTAGACTGCTTCTGCGTCTAATACCATCTAGAGTGTGCCTGACCCGGACACGTCGCCGGATTCTGCAGGGAAAGAAAAGAGAGCATGAGGCCCATTAGTCGCGGTTGAAGCACCCTTTCTTCTCACTACAGCAAATCCGACAGGTTATTGACTATCTTGACAGGTCAAAAAACGCAGTTTGAAAGATAACTCGATCCTGTAGTTTTAGGGTCAGGCTGCGATTGCTCCCTCACAATGTGGCCTTTGTGGGATGTATTAGGGCTTTGCTCCTGTGAGTTTGCGGAATAGCATCTGCGTGACATGCATTGACATATAGTAGATGGGCTAACTCTTGAAATGTCAACCGAAATTCCGAAATGTGTTTTCGTTTCGAAAAGATTAAGTAACGTTGTAAAATTAGTCAGCCTGCAACATAATTCTACAATATTTCAGTTACCTCAGGATTCCGGCTTTCGAACGAACTTCTTTCCGGCTGCATGCAAAAACTGCACTCTGCAAAAATGACTACCCAAGTAACATGATTTTGCTCGTTGATTTTGGATGCCCCTGAAGGTCCGATTATGTTTTATGGAAACCATGCATAAAAGTATTCATTCTTTTCCCATTCGGTAGAAAATTACGTCTTCTTCCAATGTTATACTCGAAGGAGGGACATAATTCGGTTTTTTAAAAGTTTCTAATCGTGGGACTTTTAAATACCGTGAAATGGCCGTTCATAAATCATGTCTCTGCATTTACCAATGTGGCTTGTAACGTTAATAATATTTATCAAATCCACTGCTAAATTTTATGAACCCTATATTGTTCCCTTTATTACCGTATTGAAATGTGTGGTTTTCCGCACGCACAAAATATACGGTCTGTAGTTTGGAAACCCTGAATACAAATGTGACGGTAGAGCGGGTTCAAAATTATTCTAAAATTGGAAAAATTTGTAAAGCCGAATTATGTCCCTCATTCGAGTATCAAATTAGAGGAAGACGTAATTATCTACTGAATGAGCAAAAGAATGAATATTTTTATACATGTTTTCTATTAAATATAATTGGACTATTAGGGGCACCAAAAATCAGAGAGAAGAAACCATGCTACATAAGTAGTCATTTTTTACATAGTTTTTGCATGCAGCTGGAAGGAAGTTCGTTCTGAGGAGAATGAATTGCTCACCGGATCGGGGGACTTTTCTGGCTGACGTTTCGAAGAGCTGGGGCTGCTCTCCATTGTCAAAGCGTCAAGTGAAAAAATCGATCAGCATTTTTGAATAGACTGCCGCTTTAGTTGGCCCTGGGCTGATCGATTTTTTTCTTCCTTCTCTGCCTCGGCCTACTGGCCGTCGCCTGTGAATGTTGGTGGCCTCCTGTAATACGTGTCGTCACCTCAATTGGGGTTGGTTGCGTTTGCGTTCCCCTTTTGGGTGAAGTGGTCGACAGGCCGTGTTTGCTCGGCATTCTTAGGCTCCGTATGATTGTCTTGTCTTCGTCTATTCAAAAATGCTGATCGATTTTTTCACTTGACGCTTTGACAATGGAGAGCAGCCCCAGCTCTTCGAAACGTCAGCCAGAAAAGTCCCCCGATCCGGTGAGCAATTCATTCTCCTCAGATTACCGACCCGGATCTCTTACTTTTGCTAACCTGAGCAGAAGTTCGTTCGAAAGCCGGCACCCTGAGGTAACTGAAATATTGTAGAATTATGCTGCAGGCTGACTAGGTTTACAACCCTAATTAATTAACCTTTTCGAAACGAAGACACATTTCGGAATTTCGGTTGACATTTTATGAGTCAGTCCACCTACTGTAGATTCATCCATGCTGACCACTGGGCCCGCCTGTGTGTGACAGCTGGCACCATCCCATACTGCAGTTAAGGGGGATCGAATTGGCAGGACGATCTTAAATGTGGTGGAGAGCGTAAAAGAACCTCAGAGACCAGCGTAAACTGTCCTAACATGCTCAGTCAGCTATAGTCGTCGTGCAGACTGCGTGAGATGTGAGGGAAAGCCTAAACTGTGGTCGCCAAGCGGAGCCAATAAGCAAAAAGCAAGTTATCGATCGGCCTCACGATGATGGGTTGAGTCAGGAGTGGCGCGACGTTCGACAGACGAGGCTTATGAACTGAATCAAGGCGATAAATGTAACCAGAGTTGCTCGTGACTGCGAAAGCAGGTTGGATCGCGCCAACACAACCACCAGTCACACGACATTGAGTTGTGGCTACTGTGGTAAGGTAGAGTAGGGTAGACACAGGGTAGTTATCGCTCACCCTAAACTAATTTACCTGAAATTCGACGTTGGACCCTTGGGACAGTGATTGCCCTCATCGACAGCAGCAGACTAACAGAGGGCTCCGACGTGGAGCTTATGGGCCTAGTTAGCCGTCCCAATTCCGTCCTGTAAGCAAACAGAGTCTGGGCGCATAGCTTGGTGGTAAAACTTTGGAACTGAATTTTCCTCAACTTTGGTTAAAATCACAGTTCTTCCTACAACTAGGGCCGGCGGACGACAGCTAATGAGCGTAAGGGGCTTATCTTATCTCAGTCTTTCAAGTCCATGTCCCTGTCGGTGTTCTGGGTCGAGTCTGACGGTGAAGTCGATGAGGAAGTCCACGTTGAGGCAAAATTCTGCTGATGAACCAGAGCAGGATTGTTTTATTCCTGATTTTCAGGTCATTCAGACAACGGTCAGAACGGAAAATTGCGTCGGGGTGGAGGTTAAAGGTCGGAATATAGTTCCCACACGTTTACTCATCATTTTCCTTGTCAGCAAACCTTCCCAGTAATCCGGTAGCCGGCCAGTCGTCTGCAAATCCATCGACGGTCTCAGACAGTCCGCACCTTCTGTCCTCGCCGCTGCTCATTGGCGGAGAGACGTTGATTGGATGCAGTTGGGACCGAGGACGAGTACCTGTGGATGAAGTAACCGTGGAGTCTTCAACGCTGCGACAGTGGACGGTTCTGAGGGGTTGCATTTCCTTTATCGGCTTCCGAGGACTGAATGGTTGACTAGGACGGAGATGGGGAGGTAGATGCGTATAGATGAGGTTTGTGAGCAGTTTAGAGCACGCATTTCGCAAAATATTATCTAGTACTAGTGATGGTGGGGTCACCAGGTGTACAAAGCTAAGTACTGCTAGATGACTAGTGTCTCCTGGGAGTACAAGGTCATTTCTCGTAGGCCCTACGCCAGTCACTTGAACACTACATCGAGGGAAGGCCACTAATTTGGGTGTTCCCACAAGCAGCTCTCCTCAGAAAGCTGAGATGGGGATGCTGGTTGTTTCTTGTCCTAAAAGTCTTTTACTTACGTCAAGATTGAGTTCGTCGGCATTCGAGCCGAAATCTTAGTAACTGCTAATGCATAACTGTTGCTTCACAACTATTATGGCTCCAGAAGAAAATAGGATCACTGGAACAAGAGATTTAGTGACCTGAAGTTCCAGATTCCCACTCGAGCACATCATCTGAGACGGCCGCAGACAAAGGTGTTAGGAGCACAACAAGTGCAGTATTTATACACCGCAGTTGCCATGCTACCACATGCCTAATACGAGTGGCAGCTCCGTAATCATCGTCAGGGCCCGTAATTGTTTCGTGATAGCTTGTTGGTCCAAAATCAGTGTTTAATTGCCGAAATGTAATCGTCGTCGTAGGTTCTTGATGTGATAATTACTCGGCCATTTGGATCGTTGCTACTGGAATAGTTGATCACCGCGCTTCCCCGCATAGCTAATTAGTCTGCCCAGGTTCGGTTCGGAGTTCGGTTCGTTTGTTAATTTATTGGGAACTGGAGAACTATGACTTAAGAAGCTCGAGACTCACGCGGTTGTCGCATCCGGTGAGAATTTCGGTCTTGTCAAACTCTAGGGTGTGACCGGATCCCTTCGAATAAGTAGCGATTTGAGAGCTAGCGTCATTTATTCTCGCCGCCACTTCATATTTGCCTATTCGTATCCAGAGTGACCTCCCATCCTCTCCATTGTAGTGAATTTGTCCGTAATTGCATCAGATCCGATAGACGATTTCAGACGTCCCATGCCGTAGCAGTGGTTTCTTTGTCCTCATGACTTTAGTCATGGTTCTTCGGCCCCCAGTCGACCAGCAATGCAATTAACGACTCGGTTCCGGACTAACAAGCAATCTCATCGCAACTGTGCATGTGGCCGAATAGGCCTATGCGGTGGCTGAATGTGCGAGAGCAATACTGACAGTTGAGACGATGGCGTCTGGTGAATGCTGGTGTTCCAGGGTCTGCAGACCATGGCCCTTGCAGCCTGGTATGTTCTGACACCTGGTTCCCTGCCGGTAGATGCGGTCACCCTCCCGCTGTGTGTACAGGTCGTAAGCATGGCTGCCCAGTCATTCTCATCCTTCTGACCTGTTTCGGTGCCGTCGTTATTGGTTAAAATCCTGCTCAAGCGTTCGTTATGGATCAGGAGGTGTGGAAGTACGCTTAACTGAGGGCTCAGCTGCGTCAGCCACCTGCGCCCTCCCTCACTTACATTCTTCTTGACTATGTCTTGACACTGAGTTTAGTTGGGGAGGAGAGAGTGTGGTGGATACAGCGCAAGTCTACACTCACTATAAACTACCCCACGCGCAAGTCACCGTGCCTGCTTCACCTTGCTGTGGAACACACGGTGGACATCGTCGTGCACGACGGTCGAACTGTTAGTTCCCCAGTCCCTGTGCGATGCATTCGCAAGCGACCGACCAGGAATATTCGTGAGGTGAATATGCGGTCGTAATGAGGACAGGTTGGGAAAGAGTCCACAACGCTGGAAATGGGGGTTATGATGGTGAGAGTGGTGGTTGACGGGACCAAGAGCGTCTGGGTCGGTAGCATGAGTCGTAGGGCTGGTTGTAGTGGTCGTTGTTCTGGAGGTTTCGGCAGATATAATTGAGGTGGCGTTATTCGAGGAAGGCGGGACACGGAGAGGCGCTCACTGCACAGACCTCAAAGACAATGATAAAGCGACTAGGCAGATATTCAAACGTAGAATACTGCCAAAGACCGGGATGGCCATCTGAATTATTGGCCCTCGCCAGCCAGTTTTACTCAAACCCAAGTTTGCGGGACCTGAGCTTCAAACCCACGCTCATTCATCATCGAGGGATGTTAAGTTCGACGCCCTACTCCTGAGCCATAGGTCCCTTGTCCTTTCGATGGCGATCAGGGAGTCTTTGCCGCTTTTTTTCTCAGACTCCGTTCCCGAGTGCAGTCGAGGTCGATGAGACTGCTGGTTACGCTGACATCAACGCCGCTACCTCTGAGTCGTTTCCCGACTGAACCATTCGCATGCTACCTCGGACTACTAACGCGTTGACAACCCGGCTGAAACAATGTTGAGGCTATAAAAAAGGGACAGATGGGGCGGTAAGCAAATATTTTCGAGTGAGAGCTGTACCGTTCTGCTACTACAATATCAGTGAGTGGAAGGGGCTAGTCCTTGCACTTTTTCAAATAGTCTGAATTCGCGCTCATAGCAGCATGAGTGACGCGCTAAACACACTGTCTCGCGTTTTTAAGAAATTCTACATGTGCAGATTTTTAAAGTCTCATTTCTTACAACTTTTACTACAGGTGCTCCTTTATCTTGTAGATATCTCACTCTTTTTAAAAGCAACTTGTTTAGGTGAAAAGTGGTATTTAAGTTTAACTTTATTTTTTATTTAATTTGTTGCAATGCGAATAAGACAAACGAGTTGTCACTCTGAGACCACTGATCAATGCAAATATTTGTATTTTCTCTAAAACTAATGTCACTAGTTTAAGTGGGGTTTTCCTTTATAGCTTAGGCATGATCAAGACCCGTTGCGTGACGCAAACAGTTTAAAAGACGAAAGCATGATCAGTTGAACTGAGGAGTGGCAATAGCCGCAAAGCGGACCAGCGCGCCTTAACTGTCCCTCAAATGGGGCACAACGTAGACGGAAAGGTGTCACTGGTACCGGTTGGGAGAGGGATTTTATCATTCTGCGGCCATATGTTAATCTGTGAAAGGTAAGGATAGGTTGCGTAGCCCCCTGGGTTTAATACTTATAACTAACTACAACATTTATTGAAGTACTTGCGCTGCCTTTTGGACGTAAGAATTAGACACTAACAGTAAATTCCCAGGGTTACTGGCTTAGCATTCAGTGAAAGTACCCCTTCCACGACATCATACCTCTTTTCTCTTCTCGTAGTTCAGAAGTACATTGAAGTCGCTGTTATCGAAGACAACCAGTCAGTCAGACACCGCAGATGCATGAAAGGGAATTGGCCACTCATAATGTAGGCCAGGAGGGATCCGCTCAATATGCCCTTTACCAGACTCGTTTGAGGGCGCCAACTCCTACAGTCATCGAGGGAATTTGTCGCAAACTTGAGCTAAGAGGAGGTCTGCTACTCTTCTGTTTTGGTATATGTATGTTTTATCACAAGAGGTAGGGGAATGTAAATGTGAAATCAGGATGCTGGACTACATTCTTACAGACAAGACCCTTGTCTCACGCGGAGTAAGTGAAATTCCCTCATGGTATTCGTGTTTCTTGTATCCCTAAAACAGGCCACGTGGTTGGCGCGCTGGATCAGCTCGGGGACTAGATGGGGATCCGGCAGAGGGGTTATCAGGAATGCGTACCTGGCGCGCCCAGGTGCAGGTGCGCCCACTGGGAACTGTGGCGCCCCCCTTATTGTTCTTGTAGCGAAAAATCCTGGTTAGTGTCTGATGTGGACCAGGGGTGTGATAGTACAATGTTGGGGGGGCGCTCACCGATCGTTCTTACGGAACTCACTCGTTCCGTTGTGCCTTACAGGCTCTCTCTCTTGAGCCCAACCAGCAGCCGCACAGCGGCGCATGATATAGGCAGTATTTTATTACCGACAAAGACAAGGGAGACTGGAATGTCCATCGTCGTCAGTCAGTGCTTAGAGGCGTAGACTTCTAACTAACAGGTCGCGAGTTCGAGCCTCGGATGTTCCACACTTCGGGGTTGGGTATGACTGACTGACGACGGCTACTAAACCAGAAATGGCCATTCCAGTCTCCCTTGTCTTTGTCGATAATAACATACCATGTGATAGTACGTCTAAGTGCAGGTTTTCGTCGTATTAGCGACCGACGCCCTCTCCCGCCTCCAGTCTTCTCTCTTGACATCAGAACACAGGTGGGAGAGGAGGGGAGAGTGCGGTGAATGCAGCACAAGTCTGCTATCACTATAAATTAACTTACGCTCAAGTCTCCATTCCTGTTCGTATCCTGCTGTGGAACACACGATGGACATCGTCGGTCGCGGCGGCCAAGCTGTCATTCGTACTTCTTATATTGGAATCACAAAACAACCTCTGAAATAGGCCGATTTCGTAAAACTCTCAGTGTCTTGACTTAAAACCAACGGTTATTGTAGAATCAAAATAGTAATTTCCCATTGCAGTGAGAGGGGCTCAGACTGTGGTTTTTGTCAAGCTATAGTTTTGCACTTCATGAGAATATACATTGAAACAGCATCTGCCTTTTTTAAGCAGACAAGGTGAAATAGACTTCATGTCCGCACTCATGAGATTTTGCAGGACACTATTGGTTATTAACTGGAGCAACGTCTCCACACATCCTCCGGAAAGCGTTCTTGATAGACTGGCTATTAGCCTTTATTCTAAGATACTTGTGACTGGGGACCCTGGACTTCGCTTCGATTGTTTTTGCAACTTTGTCTTCGTTGGTAACACTTATTTGTCATAGACACACTGCTGGCAAATAAGACGCTACGGCGCGACAAACCAAAACGTCGCTACAAGGACACCCTGAAAACCTAACTCAATCATCTGTAAATCAACCTTGAAACCTGGAAAAGCCTCACTCAAGATGGACAGGCATGACATATTGCCGTAAAGGCGGCAATAGCCGTTTTCGAAGTCGACTGAATATCCGCTGTCAAGGCAAGAAATAGAAGCCTATGCGTCCCAAGCGCTACGGACCAATGACGCAAGCATCCAACCCTGTCATTGTCTCCATGCTGTCAATGCACTCTCGGAACATGAATCGGCCTTTCTGGACATTTACGGACTCGGTGCAATGCTAACACATGCAAACCCATCTCGTATGACAATATACCATTACTCTCGTCACCACTAACATCTCCAGTGTGGAAACTCCTACCCTCCTGCAAGATATCGTTTCAGTTGCCCTTATTAGCAATGTCGAAACAATTCCAACCTGACCCCATTGAGAGCGTACAGTTGAATCGTTTATTGGCCTCCCCGGTCGCCTGCGTGTCCATCTCGGTGAGACCGGTGAACCAGTACATAAGGCACCGGCATTCACCCGTCACAAAAGTCCAAAGTGACAACACTCCCCAAGGATATTCGTCCATCGCACGGAGGTGCTCGGCCATATGTTAATCTGTGAAAGGTAAGGATAAGGTTGCGTAGCCCCCTGGGTTTAATACTTATAACTAACTACAACATTTATTAAAGTACTTGCGCTGCCTTTTGCTGTCGATCACAAACGTCGTGATTTATTAACCTTCTCGAAACCACTAGTTTAACCTTTTTACGCCATGTCGGTAATCGCCCTACGGCGAGCGCTGGAAGGGTCATCGGCTGCATTTTGACTTACAGTGTCTCGGTTAGGACACGAATGCTTGTCATCCCTGAACCCCCAAACGGTTTCTCTTCCCGAACGCGTACGCCATGACTTACTTATCTCTTTAAAAATACTCGTGCCTAGTCCCTCGTATAACCAGTAATATGACCGCTAAATTTATTTGAGTTTATGCACGAAAATTCACTTAAAAGTGGACTTTAAATTGCCTTAAGGAAGGAGTCCTTCAGGTACCTGTTGCACCGAATGTGCTTTCGGATCATGCGGCAGGAACATTTCCGCGCTTGCTTCAGACCAAAGCTGTCTAAGCCAAAGGACAGACACCATTGAGCCTAGTCTACGGAGACCGCTATTACACGACCCGACGTCGGCCCTTCGTCCTGGAGCTACCGCTTCAGTCTGCTCCGATAGGCGCCTGCTGTTGTTCTTTCCTGTTGGTTCCTGACCTGCTTCAAATTTGCGAGTGGCGGTTTATTCAAATGCGTTCTATTTATTGGGAATGGGTTTTGGTTATTTCCTAAGTGACATACTCAACTCCGCTGCTATACATAAGCGTAGGGGTAGAATTTCAATGAAAATCCATTTGTTTTCTATGCTTTACCGCCTTCATTTCGTTCCCCGTGGATGATACTGATGTCTCATCAGTAAAACCCCCTATTACCACCATTCCCGTATTGCACTGGCCTATGGGGTTACTGGTTGCATGGTAGGATTACACAACCTACCGTTGTCCCGTGGAAGTTTACAGTAAAATGAACTACTTCACAGCCTACCGCAAAGCTCCGCTCTGCCTGCATGCATCACGTCCATGACGCACATATGAGCATTTTCCACACAGCCGCATACGTGCTACCTCCCCATGACGCGTCATGCCTCCCTTCTGAAGCGTGCAGCACTTTCCCAGAGCCGGTGTGTGTCGGACGAATCGTCGCACGTAAGAACATGCACATCTCGATCAAGTGGGAAGCCTGTCATGTGGTTTAGTCTTATATGCAGTACGTGACCTATCTCATGAAATCTGATAACGGAAAGTGATGCGAGAATTTCTGGACGTCTTTAACGTTGCGCATTTTGTTCGCTCATCCACATCCTTCAATGGAATGTCCTTTTCTTGTGCAGAAATCGTGTTTAAATAATTTTATCAAGTAAACTATCTGTAAATTTTAGCGAAAATGAACGTTGTCCCATGACCTAGACTCCAATTACGCATCTGGGCGACTTTTATTGAAACGATAGTAGTTTACCCGCGAAAGTTTTAATAAACGGATTTAGCCGAACTTTAAAATTTATTTTATGTTCGATGTCAACTGTGGTAATCAACCTGCCAACCTAAAGGTTATTCTAAGAAAACCAGAGATTTTATCAATTCCTCAGTGTTAATTTAGCAGATCTGTGTGATTTGGTGCCCTGAAGTACAGCAATAACGTAGATAGAGATTCCCTTTGTTTAAATAGGCTGAAATAGTTATGCCGTTGGGAAAATTCTACCTGATGTCACATAATTGATCACCACCAAACGGTCATTTCCAGTTTGGAACATATGAAACACTAGTTGCCGTGCGGTTCAGTTTCTGTGCATGCCATATTCAGAAATAAAACGAGCAAAACATTAATAGTTTCAGCAAAACATCAGTATCTATATGGGCGCTCTGCCGTGCATTCACATTCGATTGCAATCGAAGAAGGGAGTCTAAAAGCGAGCAAAAACGGGAAATGGTCTCAAGGTATGGAGGAAGGCATGTTCTTACGTTTACGGTAGAAAAAACAATATTGTTTAGGAACGTGAGAGAAACGGTCAAAAGTGTCAAATTTTTACTTGGTCTCACCGTGCAAAAAATGCAAAGTACACAGTGATCCGTCAACGGAGTGCAGTAATAAAGCACTTCTTAAAGAGGTAACTTATTAAGGAAAGTTTTCTTATTGATCGAAGGCATAGTCGTCGCTGACTTTCGTTGTGGACAGTCATTTTTCTCGAAAATGAAGTTTGATGTTTAAATGGGTCTTCAAATGTGATCCAGACGACCATCTTCGTGAAAAGGAGCGCCCCGAACACTCACTAATTCGGTAAACGCTTTTAAGAATAATCTTATTTTAAAGTTCTCAACAGACAGGTAATTGAGAATCTGTCTTTATGGACGATCGGGTAAAAACACTGACAATCACGAAGTATTCAGCAACATTTATAGGCCGATCTGAAACTCAACGTAATCCAAAACGAACGAAAAGTAGAAATTAATTTAACGGAAGAAAAGTTCTCTCTATAAACACAAAATGGTATGGTTACGATCACGCCTGTCAATTTTATTTAAATTTATTAGGCACCGACCGGCCTCATAGCATGTCACCATATGAAGACTTTTGTTCCTACGACGGTGAAATCAAGCAAAATCCAGTTTCTCTTTTTGAACCCCATTTCACTTAACTCAAACGAGTCAAGGATAACACGAATCCCTGAAAAACTGTTTTCACATCCACACTCAGAATGTAGGCAGTCAACAAACCGTCATAGATGAAATCACACTAATTATTAAACAACATTTAAATGTAAACTTCACTGAAACATTATTATTAGATGTTATTTTATTTCTGCTTTCATATTTATGACGTTTTTGGTATGAAAATACATCCTATAATCTAAAAACGAAGTTTCCTATATTAGAGCCATTTCTGACGTTTTCGGGATATTGCGCTTTTCAAAATACTTCGGCATTTCTAAACAACGCAACACTACCTTTAGTATTTCTTTTATGTTTTTAATTCTTTAAAACATATACTTACTTAACATAGACATTGGACTCATGAAACGATGTCGGATTGCGGGTGATTGGCAATCATTCGTAAATTTCGACACATTTCATGAGTTAGGTCACTAACTGTACGTTTCTGCTTGCGTCCCACATGACTGTAGATCTCACTGGAATAACTGCGTGATATTTTCGCCTGCAGGCCTAACATCAGGGTACTTTGGGCACACAAAAAACCCTTGCACATATCCTCAGGTGTAAGTAGTAGCTGCAAGTACCAGCGCAGATCAACGAAGATGGTCGATGGTCTTACGGTTTCATGGCACAAGGACAGGTCGAAAGGGCTTGGCTTGTTTTTCCTTACCTTAGAAGCACTTAAGGTGCAGCCTAGTCTGGATATTTCAGATTGTCTGTGAACATGGTTGGTGGCTGAGACCGTAAGGCTTCGCTGAGAGCGGTCATCCGTGAGAGGTCAGAAGCGAACGTATGCGACTAGACCTAACTGTATATATATAGAGTGGAAGCCACATCCAGTGTGTCAACCACCGGCGGCATGTTCAGCCACCGTGTTAGCACCCACTTTCGGTCGCCTCGACTTTGTTCTGTTATCGGATCACGGTAGGAGGGACGTAGGAAAGTGTAGCAGATGTTGCGATAGTCTGTTTCACTTTAAACAAATGCATGCTCGAGCCACTGTCACTGAACCCAACCCTTTCGGCAACGGTTAGAGTTGTCAGTTGGGCATTGGTAGTAGCGTTACTCTGTTGTAGTAGTGGGGCAGTAATGATCAAAGTAAAAGTCATAGTTATGCTAATAGTAACAGTAGAGCGGTCGCAGTAGCATTAACGTAAACACTACAGTAATTATTACTGTAGATGTAATTAAGCATCTTGACTTTGTCTCGAATGAGACGGTTCGCGCTCCCTCATATACTGCAAGAATTTCTCGAGCCACCCAAGAGATGCAGTTGAAGTTTTTGAGACACTTTCCTCATCCCCACTCAAGGAGTCCTGTACTGCGGATTCATCTTTGACACCGCTCACTAAAGGGAGCCGGCGAGGGATCTGCCAAAAAACCGGCCCGACGTAATCCCGCAAGATCCGGTGCTGGCTTTTAGACCGATCTTCGGCTTTCTGCCCAGGAGATGGCAGTGAATTGAACTCTCTATATCCGCAGCATATGGCTGGCTAGATGAGGGATGATCACGGCCATATCAGGTTCGACTAAGCGTCCTCCTGACAATGAAACGCGAGTCGCGATTCGACTTTCGAATCTTTTCAAGACTGGCATTTGATTTGCCGTATGTAAGTCTCAGAATCCTGTCATTTATCCGCGCCAGAAGTGCGCGTGATGTAATTGGTTAATTCAGTTCGATGCAGACTTTACGGCAGTCATCTCCGACCTTGATACTAAATCGATACCAGTTCGATTGTTATTACGGCAGTAGTGAAGATAATGGCAAATATATTTCCAATGGCACTATCAGTAGTGGTAGTGTATAACGAAAAGAATTCAGCCCTTGTCTGAAATAACATTTCTTGCAATAGAATTGTAAGTCACTCTCCTTCTTTCGAAATCGCTCACCGAATTTTCGCATTCAACTTTAACTACACATTTCTATAAACCTTCTCAAGCCCGTTTTTATTTTCGTCTCAGTGCATCTTTTCCAGAGCAAACAGACATTTCTGCGAGAAAATAGCTGCATTTGTAAAAAAACAAAACACTGGGGTTCGGCAGGTATATGACCATCGTGGTACCAGGTAGAGTTCGCTAATTTCATGGGGACCCGCAAAATTCCTCAAAGCACGCAGTTTTTAAGTCCCGCAGGTGTTGGCACGAGATTAGACTGACTTCCAGCATCTTCTGAAAATTGCATTGTACCCATCCCGTACTTTCAGTTGTGTTGTTGGAGACGGTGGGATGGGAGGTTTCATGCAACTTGAGATGAGGATCGATGTTAATGTACACAGTCTTTAGTTTCGTGGACCTCTCCCCTGTCTTCCTATCGATAGACGGACTTACGTCCTATCACAGTCATTCGTCGGGGTGCCGAAGATGATGTCTCCAGCAAGCGCACTGGCTTACACTCTTCTAGATAATCCTTCAGCACAGTCGCCGCCTTGAAGCGGTAGCAGGTAGCATGTGCGACAGCAACCTCTTTGAGGGCGTCCTGCACGGTGGTTGGAAGTGCAACCGCCGGGGGCAATTTAGCGTTAAGTTTTGCCAGAGCCTGCGTCATGGCAGCTGCATCTTCCTGGCTCTTTTTGCCTTCCGCCTTAGTAACCACCTTCTGCATAGCCAGGGCTACGTCGTATATGACGGGGGAGGTATCATTTGGAATCCCGAAGGTCTTCTCGTGAAAGGCCTCAATGATCTTGCAGCCCAGGTTTATGGCATCATCCGGTTTTTCAGCCTCATTACAGGCGCGTGCCAAGCGGACGGCACACTTGTCCCAAATGTCACCTGTTAGAGGCAGTCCGTCGCTGGCTCTAGATAGGGCCATTTTTAGTGCTCTTACGCCATCTTCTTCCTTGCCCCAGCTAAGAAGCATGTTACCCGCCTGAAGGTAATTTTTTGCCACCAGACCATCATCGAGCTGACATTTTTCCCAAATAGCCATCGATTCTGCGTTTGTCTTGATGGCTTTTTCAAAGTTCTTCATTTTTCCATAAATAAGAGCCAGACAGGTTAGACCGCAGGCTATTATGGGGTTATTTGGGCCATATACATCCTTTCGTATGACTTGTGCGGCATTCATAAGAGTTTCAGCTTCGGTGTAGAAGCCCTCCTCGTAGCAACGCTGTGCAATGCGTTCAAGGGCTGTCGCGTAAGTGGCCATGCCGTGATCTTCCGGTTTTGGCAAGTTAATGGCCATTTTCATGCCGTCCTCGATCAGGGAGGGGACAATTGCGGCGTAAATGGGCTGCAAGGCTGTTTGTAGGGGTCCAGCAATTTCAGCAATCCACTGTGTATCATAGGCCTTGGAACTGCGCCAAATTTTTCTTTCATCAAGGGCCTCTGCGAGATTGTACTCAAATTGATTCAACTCGTACATAAACTTCCAATAGAGGGAAGCCTCTCTGGTGGCGGCAAGGATGTTCTGTAATTCAGCAATCCTATCAATCATGAAATTTCTGGCCGCCTCGTCTTCACGATGGACTCGAAGCAATTTTCTATGATTTGACTTCACTCGCGCGCAGGTCATCTCAAACTGGTTCACCTGCTCAACTAAGTGATAAAGCAGGTTGCCAGAGTAAAGGCCCAATTGGCATCTAGTAGCCAACTTAGTATACAACTCGAGGACTAAATCATGTGCAATCTTCTTTGTCCTGTCACTGATGTTGGCACCGTTTCCAAGTTTCTCCAGCATCTTTCCAAGGGCGTCATTATTTTCCGTAAAATTGTCTAAACAGGTTGAGACGGCAGATGAAATGTCCGGACCCCGAGGGCTGGCTGTGATTGTAGTTAGCGCAGTCCTCGTATTGGACATTTTCAGCGCATGTTGTCAAATCCATCAGTCTGGGGGCTAACCTCGAGTCCGTTGTGTTTAAAAGTATCGATCTAAGCTTACACGTGAAAGTGGCCACTGGACGGAATTTCACGAACCTGCTGAAAGTGGACTTAAAAACAGAGATGAATGTGCGCATCCTCTCGAGCAGATGAAACTCCGTTCTGGACGATATTTTGACCCCCTTCCTAGTTTCTGCCTTGGAGATATGCAAAGCTGCTAATTTGATGTTAGAATTAGTTGTATCAAGCAGTTTGAGGAAAGCAATATGTTTTTCAGTCCCGATGTAAGTCTACATCGGACAAGCACTTATTCTGGTTGTACAGAAACCGTACATTTTTTGCATCACGCCCCAACTGTTTACTGAACCAGATGGCAAACCATCAGTTTTAACAGCCTGGCTACCATCACAGGATATTAAATCCTCAGCAAGCATAAAGTACATGATCGGGGTAGGGGTACTACCATGAACTGCCTACTATATTTACAAGGAGTGGCCGATCTTATGAAATGTTGGCTGAACTTCTGAAGTGCGTTGTCGATTAGGAAGGATTACTTAATGGCGGTTGTAATACTCATTATCGTAGGGCGTAATCTTACAAAATTTCAGACTCGGCAGAATGTCAGCTTTTCAATGCACTGTTTTTCAATCTCCTGTATAAACGGTACTTGGTAAAAAATGACTACTTAGGTAGTATGCATTTTTCCCATTGATTTTCGATGGTCTGGCAAATTCAAGCATATCTTATAGAAACCGTAAACAAAATATGCTTTCTTTCAGTTACTTAATAGCGAATCACGCCTTCTTCATATTTTATACTCAAGAAAGAAGTATAATTAGGTTTTAAAAGAGTTTTCTAATTGCCGATTAATTTGGAGCCTGATCATTTGTTGCTTTAGAGCTTAGTAATTTCAGTTTACAATGTGCATGCGTTTCGCGTAAAGAAAATCTCATCTTTTTCTATGCCTTTAAAAAGATATTTTACAGAGTCCATAAAATTTTGCAGTGGGTGCGGACTATGTTGTACATTTCATGAGGAACAGTGGTAAACGAACAGGTACGATGCTATGTGAATGGACATTGCGCGGTCTTAAAAAATTTCATAATTAGAAACTTTTCGAGACCACATTATACTCCTTCCTTGCGTATAAAACATGAAGAGGACGTGATTATCTATTGAGTGACTGAAAGAAAGCATATTTTTGTTTGTGATTTCTATAAAATATATTTGAATTTCCAAGACCATCGAAAATCAATGGGAAAAATGCATGCTACCTAGGTAGTCATTTTTTACCAAGTACCGTTTCTACAGGAGATTGAAAAACAGAGCATTCAAACGCTGACATCCTGCCGAGTCCGAAGTATTATAGAATTATGCCGCAAGATAATCCGTATTACAACCGCGCCTGAATAATCCTTCCTCATCGAAAACGCATTTCAGAATTTCAGCCAACATTTCAAGAGATCAGTCACTCACTGTATCTACGTAGGCGTTGTGCGGTCGAGATTTTGCTCGGAATCCAGTCACGCCCTTCAACGGTTCTAATCCCGGCAGGATGACATTCTTTGAACTAAACCGTCCCAAGGACACCGTGCTGCAGGAATGGCTGTATATGGACAGGACATGGGGAATCCTTCGAGTAATCTCCTATTAAGGCCGCGTCAGTATGATTTTACGAGGCCACACCCGTTAAACTTTTATTACCACAATTTCCTTAAGAAACGCTCTGCAGGTTACCTTTTCTGATCCCGGTCATACACTTTATCCTTGCCTCCGGGGACGTAGAGTAGGAGGCCCCTTGCATCGATGTTCCTTTATGACAGAGTACTATTTGAGAGCTGACTGAAGAAACCGCGGAGCTGTTTAAACCGAGAATTTGAAAGTGAAACTGGATCGCCTGTGCCCCCCTTAACAAACTAACTAGTCAGTTCATCACATCAGTTCATTACATTTTCGAAGCTGCGCTGGCTGGATATACTTTTATCAGAAAATACGGATATCCAGACAACAAATATGCCCGCAGTGACAACCCTTCTAGGCCTCGAGCATTGTAAACGTCTGCCATGCCAGGATCAGCAAATCATGGTACTCGCGGACTGGTGCGTACTGACAGTTCTCTGGCATGCGGTCTCCTGTCTGTAGGTGCGTTTGTACTCCCGCCGATCGTAATCATAACTTCTCAGTCATCCTTGTCCTTCTGACCCGTTTTGGTGCCGTTATTGTTAGAAAAAAGCCTGTTCACGTGTATGTGGCAGAACAGGAGGTGTGGTGGTACGCCGAGCTGGGGGTCCGGCCGTGCCAGCCACCTGCGCCTCCTCTCACGTTCGGTCTTCTTGACTATGTTTTGACACTGGCGAGGGGAGGGTGAAGTAGATGCTGTGCAAGTCTGATCCCACTATAAACTTATTAACGAGTAAGTTATTGTGTCTGTCTCACGTTGCTGGGGAGCATACGGTGGACATCGTTGGGCACGACTGTTAGGCTGACCTATCGTCCTTTACTTTTCAAAGTGTCAAACCCCAACCCTTATCTCAAAGGTAGCCTACTGAAGTATTTTAGGTGGGTGGGTGGCACTAAGTCAGGCCTACTAAACATATCTTTTATTAGAGTGGAAAGACCATAACTTAAGAAATGAGTAACATCCGCAGAGAGAAGGGAGACTGGTATGGCCAGTATGTGCTCATTAGCAGTCGTCAACCAGCTATACCCAACCACAAGTTTGAGTAACCTGGTATGCGTGCCCCGAGTCTGGGTTATCGACTGTCCTCAAATCTGACGTGTGCCCACTGTCTTGTCGAGTTCACATAGGCAAAAAACGGAAAGTTATAGCAAACATAAGCTATTTAATAAATGAGCCATCGTACCCCTCGTGAGAGGTAAGTGAGACCTACTGGCGTTTTAAAGACCATCGGGAGATCTGGGTGGACCGAAATTACGCAAAATTGACTAGAGGTCCGAGTCTTCTTACGTCACCACATTCAGTTTTCTAACAAGGTAATTGGAGCGCGGATCATCTGACAAACGACATTTGAAGTACTTACCTAAGACCAGCACGGAAAATAGTTAGAACCTAATGTGCTCGGTTCTGTCTATTTCGCCATGCCGTGTAGAATAATCATGAGTCCCATACAGGCACTGTGGAGTGTCTTCCAATGAGCAGTTCTCGTGTTGATAGCAAATGTTACCTGCCGCTAAAGGGAACTTGATTGAAAAGTGTTTTATATACAGTCAATGACCGATCTCATGAAATGTTGGCTGAAATTCTGAAATGCGTTTTCGATAAGGGTTATTCAGGCGCGGTTGTAATACGGATTATCTTGCGGCATAATTCTATAACACATCGGACTCGGCAGGGCGTCAGATTTTGAATAAACTGCTGCTCAAACACCCTGTAGAAACCGTACTCGGTTAAAAATGGCAACATATGCAGCATACATTTTTCCCATTGATTTTCGATGGTCTTGCAAATTCGAATGTATCTTATAGAAACCATAAACAAAAATATGCTTTCTTTCAGTCACTTAATAGAGAATCACGTCCTCTTTATAATCTGTACTCAAGGAAGGACTATAATTAGGTTATTAAAAATTTTCTATCTGTGAGATTTTTTAAGACCTCGCAATGTCCATTCACATAGCATCGCACGTTTCCGCTTGCCACTGCTCCTCATGAAATGTACAACATGGTCCGCATCCATTGCAACATTTTATGGACCCTGGATAATATCTCTTTAATGACATAGAAAAATATGGGATTTTCTTTACGCGGAACACATGCACCTTGTAGAGCGTAATCACTAAGCGCTAATGCAACGAATGATCAGGCTCCAAACTATTCGGCAATTATAAAACTTTTTAAAAACCTGATTATACACCTTTCTTAAGTATAAGATATAAAGAAGACGCGATTCTCTATTAAGTGACTGAAAGAAAGCATATTTTTGTTTATGGTTTCTATAAGATACATTCGAATTTGCAAGACCATCGAAAATCAATGGGAAAAATGTATGCTGCATATGTTGCCATTTTTAACCGAGTACGGTTTCTACAGGGTGTTTGAGTAGCAGTTTATTCAAAAGCTGACACCCTGCCGAGTCTGAAGTATTATAGAATTATGCCGCAAGATAATCCCTATTACAACCGCGCCTGAATAATCCTTCCTTATCGAAAACGCATTTCAGAATTTCAGTCAACATTTCATGAGGTCGGTCACTCACTGTATCGACATAAAACTACATAAACGTTCTCAATTAGTGGTATTCCTACTTTGGCATCGAGAGGTCCTATTCAAAAATAGGACCGTTAGACAGTCGCAAAAGACAACACTTACTGCGTGTACCACGGACTGGGCGCAGCACCGTGACTTGTACAGCATCTACCGACTCCCGTACCCACCTTGTTCCGATGGTATAACAGGGTCTAGATGACCGCAGGTGTGAGCGGCTGCAGTGATTGACAAAGTTAAGTTGACAGGCTACGCGTGCCACACACATGCCTGGTCTCATTAAGTGCTGCGGGTTACTGTATGCGCCGTTCACATCTCACATGAATGACAATGCCACGTTTAAAGAGAGTCGTGACAGGCTGGCTTTCGACCTTGAGATGGGGTTAGTTATGTCGTTAGTTGGCAGTCTTCAAGTCCACGACTCTTGGCGCATCTGGTTGGATGCAAGTGCTGCACATTTACTATAGTGAGGATAGTGCCGAGTTCCCGTGGACATGGATTCTCTACTGTCGGTCCCACTCCTACAAATACAGCGATAATGGAACGGTTACTCTTGGTTTGATTACAGTCAGTTAAGCATATCTTTAACAAGCGCACCTACCCGAAGCGTGGAAGTGTCTTACGCCGGTCTCTACAGTGCTGTACGAGGAATTTACGAAACATCCGTGCACTTTTCACAGATTTCTAGTTACGAGAGAAACTTTAAGACATGGGTATGAACATTGAAGTTGGACTTACCGGCTTATTCGCCATAAT